CAAGTGAAGCTGCTGTGATGCTAGTGTTGGTGGTGGCGGCAGGCGGGCGAGTGGGAACTTGAGAGGTGCCCGAAGCTAAGCTGGAGGAGGATGGTGCGTCAAGGTTCCGAGTGGAAGCTGTAGAAGATTGGGTGTCCTGTGTTAGCCAGTCAACTATGTCCTCAGAACTTTTCGAGTTCAGGGTACGTGGCCTCTGAACACTGGGCCAAAGGGAATCACAGCACCACGACCACGACGGCCCCTGCGGGGTGGCCTGCCTCTGCCTGTCATTTTTTTTTCGATTAGTGGTACTGTGCGTGCAAGCTACTGTGACAACAGATATGAGTGGCACTGTGCAGTGGCAGAAGTTGGCAGGGTAGATGCTGTAGGCCTGACACACACGCTTGCAGACAACTAACTGCTATTCAATCTATTACAGTCAAAATTCTATTTATTTTTTAAAATGTACACTACTGTTACACCAGATATGAGTTGCACTGGTGTGACACTGTGCTCTAGCAGGCCCTGAATCGCACACGTGTGAAGGAAACTGACTGCTATTATCTTACAGTCCAAAAAGTTTTGTTTTTTTTAAAATGCAAGCTATTGGGACACCAGTGAGTGAGTGGTTGCACTGGGCAGGCCCTGAAATGCACACTCGTGAAGGAAACTGACTGCTATTATATTACAGTCCAAAAAGTTTTGTTTTTTTTAAATGCAAGTTATTGGGACACCAGTGAGTGAGTGGTGGCACTGGGCAGGCCCTGAAACGCACACTCGTGAAGGAAACTGACTGCTATTATATTACAGTCCAAAAAGTTTTAGTTTTTTTTAAATGCAAGCTATTGTGACACCAGTGAGTGAGTGGTGGCACTGGGCAGGCCCTGAAACGCACAAGTGTGAAGGAAACTGACTGCTATTATATTACAGTCAAAAAAGTTTAGTTTTTTTTAAATGCAAGCTATTGGGACACCAGTGAGTGAGTGGTGGCACTGGGCAGGCCCTGAAACGCACACTCGTGAAGGAAACTGACTGCTATTATATTACAGTCAAAGTATAAAAGTATATATGGACACACACAGGCTGGCAGGCAGGCAACTGCAATTACATTACACAGAAAAAAAAAAGCAGACTGATGTTCTAGCCCTAAAAAGGGCTTTTTGGGGTGCTGTCCTTACAGCAGAGATCAGATGAGTCCTTCAGGACTGTAGTGGACACTGAATACACTAGCCTAGCTATCAATTTCCCTAACAAATCAGCAGCAGCTACACTGTCCCTCCTAAGAATGCAGCTTCACAATGAATGTAAAATGGATGCTGTCCAGGAAGTAGGTGGGTCTGGGAGGGAGGGTCTGCTGCTGATTGGCTGGAATGTGTCTGCTGACTGTGAGGTACAGGGTCAAAGTTTACTCAATGATGACGAATAGGGGGCGGACCGAACAGTGCATATTTTCGCCAGGAACTATTCGCTATTCGTTCGGGACATCACTGGTGACTTGTAATTTTAACAATTTTTTAATTCACGATATTACTTATAGCATATTGTTGCACTATTTGTATTTATTGTTCTGTTTTCTTGAGATATTGTTTAATCGTTTACTACAGTTGAGTGTTAAGCTTAATTAATCACACCCAGTGTTCCACAGTAGTGTTTTGTGAAATTAGCATTTTGTTTCAGAACAGAACGTTAAAATGGGGACTGTAGTGCAGAAACCAGGACTGTTGCAATGCACTAGTGACACTAACTTTTATCTACATTCTTCTGACAAGTTTCTATCTAGCTTCTTTCTCCCAGATGCTCTTCACATCACAAAGGCATTTTCTAACTGACCCTGGCCTATTCCCTCACATAGGTTGAGTAAGCAGATATAAGATAGTGGGCACCACCAGGAACCCTATACCCAAGGGGACAGTGCCGGGAGTGTCCACCTATCTTAAGTATCGAGATGAGACTTCAGGGGTCTCTAGGGGCTTAACCCCAAATTCATTGACAAAAACAGAAAAGGATACAAGTAATCACAACACCTAAAGAGTTTAAGACTCAATGTATCTCCTGGAAGTGCATGTAATGCTGTGGATAGTCACTATACAAATATAGAATACCAAATAGCTATAGACAGGTAGATATATATCGCAGGATCTGGTGACCAAATAATAAGTAATAAATTGTTGCCTAATAAGCTCCTATATATCAGGGTATAAAACAGGGCAGGGTATCATGTGTAGGTGTAGTTCAAAATGATATATAAATGAGCTTTTTTAAACCTGGCTCTGAGTAAAAAAGAACCATCACCTATTTATCCAATTCCTGTTATATACTGTAAAAATTCTCCTCATAAGGTATATCCCATATCACTATTAGAGTACAGATCCTCTTACATAAACTAGTGTCCCCTCAGAGAGTATTGAGTATATAAGTCCATAATATTTCTTTGGGATACCATAAAAACATGATTAATTAATAGTGACTAATGGGATTAAGCAAAAAAAGTATATGGATCTGGTTTCAATATCAATTCTAGTAAATCTTCAGAGAATAGATGCTATCAGGGTGTTAGTTAGAGTAGAGGTTAGGCAGTAAGAAATCAAAAGTCAGCTAAAAGAACAAGCTGGCAATTTAAAGTTAAAAGCCTCTCTCCCAAGTAAACTAGCTAGACAGACATAGGATCAAAAAGAATAGATAGGAATAGAAATATATTATAGCATCATACTAAAATAAAATATGCTAAACAAAAAAGTGCACAGTGCCCAGAACCCAGGAGGAAAAAACACCTGACGCGCGTTTCGGTGCTGTATAAGATGCACCTTCGTCAGGGGCCCCTGACTGATACGGGATATACCTTGTGAGGAGAATTTTCACATTATATGCGATATATATCTACCTGTCTATAGCTATTTGATATTCTATTTTTGTGTAGTGACTATCCACAGCACTACATGTACTTCCAGGAGATACACTGATTCTTAAACTCTTTGGGTGTTGTGATTATTTGTATCCTTTTCTGTTTTTATTCCCTCACATAGACAATGTTTTTACTCACAGACATGTTTAATGAAATATACAAATAGGTGACTTGTTGAAAATAAAATGTATGGTTGTGAACATGTTTGTAATGTGTAAACTTTGAAAAAGTGTACTGTGCATACTCATCCTGATAGTAAAGCTTACTCTTTATCTGTCTTTTCCCTCCTTGTTATCATCACTATCTCCCACTTTTCACTATTGTGTTCTAATTTACTGAACCACAAAACACAACCAAGGTTGATTTCCTAGATTATATATATATATTTTTTGAGGGTGAACACATAACTTTTTCTTCCCTTTAGTTGGTTACTTTGCTTATTAATTGTTTTATTTTGACCATCAATATGTGAGTTAGAGATGTTTGGCAAATGTCACCTAATTTACAATCGAGTCAACTATATTCATGGATTACTGAGTATAAAAGTGTTATTATTTATTTTGCAACATTTAAGTGTTTAGGTACAGTCAGTGTATGGCATCACAGGGTAGCCAAACGTCAAAGACCCGTAAATATTATATAGATGTAACCAACTGGGTCATCTGGATGACATATCCCAATGATGCCAGAAAGTCTCATCATTCTTCCAACAATATCTTGCATTTTTACTAAGCACTTCCCACCCACTCTGGTTTTTGCTTCTTTTATAAAATGCCTTCCCATGTGTCTGACCAAATACCTCCCCAATCACATTGCACCTTTGCAGTCTGTGCAAATGCTCTAAGGCTCCCTGTCCACCCCCTTCAAATTTCCCCATTCTACCTCTTACCTCCAGACCCCATCATAACCTTTAGATTGTAAGCTCACAAGCTACCTTAGTACATTCTATAAAATGGTTATAAATGCTAGATCTAAGTATACAGGTAAAAACCTCTTTTTCTTCTGTACTAGTTTGTCTATATTGTAATGTCTATCTTTCCTGATCATACAGTGCTGTTGAATATGTTGACACTGTATAGATACACGTAATATTATTCATAAAATCTTCTATTGAATTATTGCACCATTATATAAGAGAGCATATCCTTCCTAATGGATCTTTATCAAGCCTGGGAGGGTGCTGTCCAAAAATGCATATTATTACATCTCAGCAATAGTATCACAAGTAGTGTTTATATCATACTTAGTGGCGGAACTACCAAGGTTGCAGGGGCCGCAGCTGCGACCAGGTGCCCACCGTCATGTGTTGTGGCCCCGGCCCACGTCGTAGAACAGCTGGAGTCGTGTGTTCAGGGGTCCATTGAGTGGCCCATGCTGACAGAGCCACCCGATGGCTATGGATTTCCAGGGCTGGCTGGCGCTGCAGCGCATTAACCGCACGACCGGGCCCCCTGAGATGATGTCAGATAGTGGGAGGAAGTGACTGCCCCGTCACTCCTCCCAGCTTACAATGGGAGGAGGAAGGAGGAGGGAGTCATAATGGGAACTCTGACTCCCATCAGGCTGAGCCACCACTGGAGCCCCGGGAAGTGACTCAAATATTTTGTATGTATATGTGTGTGTGTGTGTGTCTGTCTGTGTGTCTGTATGTGTGTGTGTGTGTGTTTGTATGTATGTAAGTGTGTCTGTATGTATGTGTGTATGTGTGTGTGTGTCTGTCTGTGTGTGTGTGTGTGTGTGTGTGTATGTATGTGTGTCTGTCTGTGTATGTATGTGTTTGTATGTATGTGTGTCTGTATGTATGAGTCTGTATGTATGTTTGTGTATGTGTGTGTGTGTGTGTGTGTGTGTGTTTGCATGCATGTATGTGTGTGTGTATGCATGTATGTATGTGTTTGTCTGCATGTGTGGATGGACAATGTATGGAAGAGGGAGGTTAGACATAAGGGGGAGAGGCAAGGGTAGACGTATGGGGGGGCAGGGCAATTTTGGCACCAGGGTCCCATGGTTTCTAGTTACGCCTCTGATCATGCTTGCACTTTTAAGTTGATGTGAGTGCTTCTAAATAGATAGATCTAGATTGTTCATTTAAATCTTAAACAAAAACGCAAACTTGGAATTAGTTTTTGCTTTGAAATTTATTATAAGCTACATTTAAACAAAGAAGACAAGAGGGAAAGAAAAAAATAAGCCAGATGATTCATAATTACAAACATTGGAAGATTGAAACAATCACATAAATTGAAACCTTTTCTTACTGGACATTGGAACTATCATTTTGTGCATATAGTTGATAGTTTGGACAAGGTTAAAATTTTACAGCTAATATCCAGAAATTACCTGAATGTTCAATCTGTGTATTTTTTTGTCTTTATTTTTGTTTGAGGGTGTTTCTTAATTAAACAAAAATAATTCTGATCTTTAATAATGAAAATGGTCAATTTACAAACTATGCAGTATTTTAGCTTTTAAATTGATTTCTGATCTGAGCACTCTGTCTTTCTTTGGACTGACTCTGGCTTTCCTGGGAGTGACTCTGACTTTCTTTGGAGTATTTCTGTTTCTCAGAAAGACCGTTTTCAGGTGTGCAGGTGGCTCCTGCACAGCCACAGCTGATCACATTGGTGTATGTGTAACTTAGACGTCTTCCATTGGCGCAAAGTAGTTGGACAGTCTTCTGGCCTACTTCACGCTCTGTACAGCAAGTACACTTGTGGTCTATCGACTTTGTGGAGATAGAATACCTGTAGCAAACAACAAAGAAAAAGGAGTGTGGTTACTGTAGTGCCAAAACAACATATATACATTTCACCTAGTGCAGCAAAAGTGTAGAAATCGGTTGTGGTTCATCAGCAGCAAAATGTAACATAAAAAATGGAGTTAACACTGTGTAAATTAGTAGATAAGACCCACTCATGGAACCACACTTCTATTCGAATAGCATATGAAAAACAGATGTATCAGGACCCCGTCCCTTCCTCAGTGTTCAAATGCCCTTAAAATCATTTTGACGTATGGCGTAGGCTCTTCTAATAAAAGTGTGGTTCCACAAGTAGGCCTTATCTACTAAGCTGCACATTGTGTTACCTCCTCTTTTTGTCATAGAATACCTGAAAAAAACTACAGTATATTTTAGCATGCATTGTATAATAAAATAGGTAAGCAGACCCAGCAGACATTATATATTGTCTTTAGAATACATTAATATATGATTAATTTAACAAAAGTATATATTATATATTATGGTGTTTTATTAAATATAACTACATAGGCAGTAGTTGAACTAGTAAAATAAAATGGTTGTATGAAAAGTTTTTTTTCAAATTATTTTCTTCCACTGCCATATTGTATCTTTTAACATATTTTGAAGTGGGCAAATCTAGGTGTACTATGCATCCACATTAAATCTAAATGAAATACTTTCGTTATAGACCCTTGCTAAGAAACTATAATTCCAGTTATTATTTGACTTACATGGATGATCCCATGCAGGGTCCACCGCAGTATGTGAGTTCCACCTGAGCCACACAGTCATCTTGTTTGAGAACAGTTACATTCTTACGCACACTGCAGTCTTCTATTACCTTGGGTTGTTCTGTTGCAGAAATCACTGGAAAAAAACACATGGCATGTTATCATAAGATTTTGTTTTATTGAATAATAATAGCCAGTATCTAGAAATGCTGGTATGTAGTTAAGTTTGCTTTATGTAAAATAAAGAATTTTGGTAAATTCAGAAACATATATGAAAGTAATGGAGCATGCTTGTTTTTAGTTCTTATATAAGGATCATCTGAACTTTACAACATACAGGAGTAAGCACATAATTTAGTTGTATCTGAGTTTTTTTATGGTCGCTGACCATGATTTTAATACCATCTGTATTGTGATTAGGTGAAAGCACAAAGAATATGCAAGTTCAGCTAATAAGCTGTTTAAGAAAACTCACACTGAGCAATCACATACAGAACATTATTATAAATTGCTTAGGAAATATGTATTTTAGACTTTATTAAAGGTATCTTATGTGTTATACGTATAACTCCTTTTTTGTGAAATATCTTATTTTACTGAATTGAGTTATACAAAATGTTTAAGCATTTTTTTTTTCTTACACTGGTTTTAAAGCATTTATTTATGCATTTGTTTTGAAAGCACAAAGTAGACAACCAAAACTCTACTTGAATTAGAAATTGTCTCTTTTATCTCTGAAAATGTTCCTCTAAAATGTTTATCTTCTTAGTAGCATTGAAATACACGGTATACAAATCCCAAATGCGTGTTAGTGTGCAATGTCATGGGCATTCATATTTTGAATTTTCTCACCTATTAATTTAAATTATCTCAATGTTATTACCTCCTTATGATTTCCAGGTATAATAACTCTAACTTTTTAAGGCTACCTATGTTCTTAGTTAAATAATGGGTTAGTCCATATATAATGCCTTTTTCAAGTAAATTTAGGACAAGACCTTTCATCCAATAGAAAATACTAACCAGTTATAGGTTTACATGTTCTACAGCAGCCATCTTGATCATATGCAAGTGTGCTCTGAAAAACAAATGAAATTATAGCTTCAGAAACTTGTGCGACATTGTAAAAAAGGCTAGATCAACAAATGAGACATTAAAAATACAATGAAAATGACACAAACCTTTACATTAAAATATATATGTATAACATACCAGGTCACATTTAGTGAGGTCGAGAGTCTGGCAGACCTTCTTCACCTTTGTGAGAACAGGTACACCGTTTTCTTCTTCACATTCATAGTAGCTACAAGCGCTAATATTTGTTCTGTATGTTTCTCCAATCTGTAAAACATAGACACAGATAATACAGGGATTCATTGCACTTGCTGAAAATGATCAATTGGCAGGTCATAGACTATCTGCAATGTGGATTGCATTTTAAGATTACACTCAAGTTATCATCTTAAAATGAGCCAGACTCACCAACATTAAGGTGTTTTTTATTTTTGTTACCAAGACCTTAGCAGAGTTTATGAAATTATGTTTGTTGCACATGTATTGTCATTAGTTACCTTAATGTCTACTGATGTATTGTTGTCTTTCTTCATAGTACATTGGATAGGCACACATTCTCCACAACACTGTCCAGACTTTTCTCTATATTGATAACCCTGCAGTGAAAATAAGAGACTAATGATCAGAACATATAGTGCTATTTAAAAAAGTCTAAATAATAGAAATATGTAAAATTGAAAAAAGTTTACCATGAGACCAACGTTTGAAGCCCAATTACTAACATGATATTAAAACATTAAATGGCTTAGTTTTATTAACCGCTCTTATATCTAGGAATGGTGGCCGGTCTTTTTCTTATTAGGGGCAATTTCAAGATAATGTTTTACATATTCTTGTCTCAATGGACGAGTAAGCACACTTATTTTATCTCTTTGAAGGTTATAATCTCTTTATAGTGCATGTTGATATTTTATATTTTACCCAACTGACTGCTTAAGACAGTACAATATTTTAGTACTCCAGATTCTGCTATGCAGATAGTCTTATATAGGTAGAATGTGTTTAGCATGGAAATAAATAGTGGGATTGGAGTAATTCCTCTAGTGCCATAGGTTCTTCCCATGCTGTGTTTGGATTGGTTGCAGTATCTGTGCATGATATTACTACAAAGGTGCTTGTAAGGCATGGATTAGTCGAATATAAGGAATTGTCCCTTATAGCTCACTCCATATTTTAAATTAATTTAATGACATCCAATATTGACATCAAACTGCTCATATTGTACCATGATATTATTAATGGTGTACAGTGAATATATAACGCTAAAGGCAATAACTTTTTATTGGCTTCTGCTTTAGATCATCACATCTTCATTTTCTTTAATTTTTCAATATGGTTTTCAATTCACAGCAGTCTAAAGTTTAGTGACTAATCGCCTTTAGAGTTAAAATACATTTTACTCTTCCATAATATAGTTAAAAAATGAGGCCCATCAGTGTAAAAGGAACACTCCAAGCACCATAACCACTACAGTATGCTGTAATGGTTATGCTGACAACACTGTCTCTGGCACCCTTGCCATTGTAAGTAGTCAAACATTTTTAGACTTCATCCCTTGCATCTGCCTGGTTCCGCTTGGAGTGTTCCTTTAAGCAGAGAGATTAAAATATAACACTTACCTGGCTGCAGGTCTTCTGACATACGATAGGGGTGCACTTTACAGCATAGAATTCAGCAGTCATATCCATCTCAGAAGAGCATAAACATGTCTGGCAGGCATCTTTTGGCTGTGGGATGACTGATCCACGCTAGGAAGAAAGAGTAAAAATGTATGAAAGCCTTATATTTTAGCCATTGTTTATATTCAAATAAATTGATAAATTCGTAACACTTCTGATATATATGAAATTGCAACCCAAGCAGACTAACAATTTACAAGGTAATAAAAAATGTTTTTTACGCAGAAAACCGCTCATACAGTACAGTTTTAGATAACTGCTTTGTGAGGTCATGTAGACTATTCATAATGTAAAACTTTCAATAATTAATATAATAACATAAAGAAAGCTATCAGTAATTATAATTTCCAGTTTCCAGGGAAAATGCAATTAAAAATGTAATTTGCATAAAGATATTGCTTCACCAAGACATAACTGGTAACTATGCACTATTAAATTAGGAAAACTTGGAGATCTATTATTTATGTGTTAGCCAATACTTATGTATCCAAGGAAACAAGTAACATCGCATTTCGTTTGCTATGCCATCATTTTAATATATTAGTGTTACCTGTTTTGGGTTTAAACACTAAACCGTAGTGAATCGAGATCCGAACTGGAAAATTAAGACTATTAAATAAAACGTTGCCATTCAGATGCCAATGCGCTATAATGCATAGACTAGCGAACAAGACACTACATACTGATATAGTGTAGCTAAAAGTTACAATTAATATGAACAAGGAAAAACATATTTCGGGAGAACTGAGAAGAAATTAAAGAAAAATGTAAAATTAAAAAATATATATTTATAGGCAGGGTTTGAAAATTCAAAAGTAATTAGAGATCGTCCTGTATTATATCAAGAATCATTGTTTTAGATTTTTTTTACCTGATATACATCCGTTCCAACAACACATACAGAATCAGGAACTGCGGAAAAGAAAGATATTTTTAGTGATAAAGTATTTTAATACAAAGACATTTGATAATCAAGATAACTAGACAAATAATCAGAATACATAGTTTTAACAATTGAAATATTTAGCAGGTGACACTATAAGTTTGTAATTATTACATTATATTGTAAATTTAGCATTCTGAAAGCCCTTCCTGATGGTTTTTTTTGTTGTTGTATATAGTGACTGATCTAACCTTTGTCAGTGAAGAGGTTAATACTAATTATTGAACAAAGTTTGTTCTAACAGCTACAACTAGTAGTATGTCTATTATAAGAAGAAACTGTCAAGCTAAAACTGCACTTACCACATGTGATGTTAACGCAGCAGGCCCCAGGAGGTAGGAAAGAGACCACTCTGTAGCCACTTCCGCATTTTGGCATTTGGCATACACATTCACCACACTCTATACAAATAAATAAATAAATAAAAAAGTAGATTAGATTTTCAATACACTGTTAAAATATTTATGACACATTGAAAGATCATTTGTGAAATGGGGAAAAATACTAAATCTGCCAATCAGACATTAAATATCTGGAACTACATTACATTTATCTTAAATGGGAATATGTAGGAGGGTGCACACTAAAATATAGCAGGAAAAAAAAAAGTTTGTTACCTAACACAGCATAAGTACATAGATTTCTATGGCTGGATTAGCAAAAAATCAACATGCGAAAAATAAAAAGTACAATGTGCCCACTGTTGAAATCTAAATTTATTAAAAGAGCATGCCAAAATACAAACATTTTGGGACCCCTTGTTCCTTGTTGCATTGATAAAGGGACAGGGGTACCGAAACGTTTGTATTTTGGCACGTTTGTATTTTGGCATTTTGGCATGCTTTTCTATTACATTTTTCTTGGAAAAATAACAGTAGCTTTTTGGCCTTTATCTAGTTATAGGGCTCATAGGATGCACAGCTAGCATATTGACGTGGAATAAAACATTAGTTTTAAGTATTGTCTTATTTTCAGAGATACATAGTTATTGTGTAAATTTAAACTATTTTAATTTTCCATTTCCATCCATTGCAGGGTTGAAGAGTTTAAAAGAATGCATCCTATTCTTACTCTTGCTTATTTTATATAAGTTCTGAAATATTCGTGTAAAAGAGGAATATTTTAAGCTACATGATTGCACTTTCGGTAAAGTAGTGCTTACCTGGAACACTAGTTACAGGAATAGTTGTTGTGGTTGATATTACTGAAGTAGTGTTTGTTGAAACAGTAGGAGTTGTAAAACCACTTATTGTAGGCACAGAAATAGTAGTTGGTGCAGATGTAGATATACAGTCACCAACATATCTTTCTGGTTGACACTGGCTGCTGCATTTTGCATAATATTCACACCCAGCTTTGTCCACAGTTCTGTAAATGATGTCACCTTGGGAAATCAAGACAAACATATTTGGTTAAATAAATCGTTAAATAAGTTTGGTCTTTGCTAGATCTATTGTCACAAACTGAATCTCAGACATAGTTCATTCAGAACAAAATGTCTTACTTTGTTCCAATATGTGTTTAATAATTTGTAGCGAGGACACCACAATTATTGCTCTACTGTTTTAAAGGAACTGTATACTGTATTGATTAAACCTATTCTTATTTCAATATGTAGAATAGTAAAAGAAAATTCATGAATAATATATTACTATCGGAATATTAGAATAATGCAATATCTTTAATAAATTAATACTGTACAAAGTTCCCAATAGCATTTTATATGCAATTGTAGGATATGCCAGTGAAAAGAGCTCAGTACAAAACAGATAATGTGTAGGGTGTTATATTGAAATTAAAACAGATATAAAAGATGCAATAAGTATATAATATTTAATGCAGGTATACAAATGAGCCAGAGTATATGTCTTCCTGGAAAACAAATCTCAAAGCCGAGATGGAATCAGCCCAGATAGGGTAAACATTCTTTAAAAGAATGAATGTGGTCATGAGCATACTTAATGGGCAATCCAATTTGTATGCATTATATTGAAAATTTATTTATAACAATTTATAAAAAAAATAAAAAAACATGCAAATTAACCCCCCACATTTATCAGCCTCCCATTCTGCCACACTATCCCAGATTCCCAAGTACAGTTCCATTTTGTGTTGCCTGGCCTTCTTTTTTAAATTGGATTTTTATTTTTGTGCTGACAGTTATAATAATTTCATATTTTAGCATAATTATTGTAGCAGAGCAGGAATAATTTAACTTATTAACATGTCATATATAATTATATGTTTAAACTCTTTCAGGGCCAAGGTTTTGCCACTCACATTTCTTTGCAATGTGTTGGTCATATCGCTGGCAGTTGAAGGGTTAAACCAATGAAATAACATTTTTAGGCAGCTATTTTAATATTTCAGATGAGCCCTATATTTGGTTATGTGGGGTTTCTTGAAATAGAGGGTGGAGTCAATTTTTGTGGCAGGCTCTATCAACAATAACGCTTAATGCAGTCCCATATCGTGTGAAATGTGGCTTGCTCCTATTACCCATGGTGAACTCTGACTTATGGGTAATGTTGGTGGAAACTCTGCCTTTTTTTCAAAAAATCTAAGCCATCTACATAAGGCAAACAACTTTTGTATCTTGTATATCTTTTGATTGCATTGGAATCGCAAAGATTTTCAAACATAGGCCTTGATTTAATAAGTTTTCCAAATTATCTTATACTCATTCTATATCAATTAAAGGACCACTCTAGGCACCCAGACCACTTCAGCTTAATGAAGTGGTCTGGGTGCCAGGTCCAGCTAGGGTTAACCCATTTTTTCATAAACATAGCAGTTTCAGAGAAACTGCTATGTTTATGAATGGGTTAAGCCTTCCCCTATTTCCTCTAGCGGCTGTCTCATTGATTTTCACAGTGAGAGCACGCCAGCATCCATAGGAAAGCATTATGAATGCTTTCCTATGTGACCGGCTGAATGCGCACGCAGCTCTTGCCGCGCGTGCGCATTCAGCCGATGGGGAGGAGAAGAGGAGGATCGGAGGAGGAGAGCTCTCCGCCCAGCGCTGGAAAAAGGTAAGTTTTAACCCCTTTCCCCTTTCCAGAGCCGGGCAGGAGGGGGACCCTGAGGGTGGGGGCACCCTCAGGGCACTATAGTGCCAGGAAAACGAGTATGTTTTCCTGGCACTATAGTGGTCCTTTAAGTACAAAATTCTCATGACCTTGACTGGTGACTTCTGTCTGATTAACTTAGAAAGGCTTTCTTACAGTATTAAATCGTTTGGATCAGAGATCAGTCAAAAATAGTTTTCATACAGATTCTAACATTTTAAGATGACGCAAAACTATTTTTTTTTTATTTCTGCAAAGGCTATATAAAGAATTTGCAAAAAATAAATATAATTATATAGGATTATATAGGATAAAGGTATAAAAGAATTGGGTTACTACCTGAAGTGTTCAGTACTCCAAAGATTGAAATTGTGAGACGTGGGAAGCCAGTGGGAGGGGGCTAAAGGAGGTGAGCCAGTGACATTAATGCATCACTGGCTCTGCCCAAAGAGGGTAGGCTCAAGTTTTATATAAGACATTGGGCATGAAAGAAAAACAGGGCTAATTTAAATTTAGAGTAATTGTAAGAGATTGAAGAGACCAGGCTGTTTTGGCCATGTTGTACGTTAAGGACCAGGGCTGTTTCAACACTTTTGTGGTGTTTGTGTTGAGCTGTAATTTTCCTCTATCTCATTTACTGTTCCCATACACGTTGAATATTGGGGTTTTTTTCAGGACAAAATGGCTTTCTCTACATACCATTATTTGTATCATGTCATATAATTTACTTTAATAAAAATTATAAAATATGGTGAAAAATTTAATTTTACTTGAAAAATCTTTTACTTATCTACAAAAGCTAATGAAAAAAAGTGCTATTCAAAATACATTCTCAAAGGCAACATAGGCAACATAACCAACCTGGCAATTCTCAATGTAAAAAAATTTGACAATTATATTTGACCCTGTAACTTTCAAAAACACTATAAAACCTGTACATCAGGGGTACTGTTATACTCAGAAGACTTTGCTGAACACAAATATTACTGTTCAAAACAGTAAAATGTTGAGCGATCACATGACTGCGGGATCCTAATTCGCTGAGGGGAGCCTGCCTGGGCTATCAGGCAGTCTCCCCACACAGGCTGCTATGCCAGTCACGGCCAGGGGAACGACGGCTATCAGGGGAGTAAGAAATACCATTATGACGGTTCAGGACGGTTATCGGTCCTCAAGGGTTTTTTTTCAATGATGGTCCTGAACCATCACTGGTTGTTAAGGGGTTAAAATAAGTACCAGTAAATATTTGTTTTGGATATATGTTGCTGTTTAAAGGAACATGCATATCTTGATAATTCATTTTTTAAACCAGCAAGCAAACATTTTTAAATAAATGTACAAATCATTATAAAGTAAAAACATAGGCAAGTATGTAATAAAAGCTCATAAACTTACTATAAACTTGGCCAGAATGCATTGTTGGGCATGCCTCTCAAATAGGGAAGTTTCTCCAGTCCCCCTCCCTTCCTCTTACCCACCCATCTCAGTTTCAGATGAGTCAACTCATTACAGAAACAGTGCATCATTGTGCTGCAGCAGGAAGGAGATCATGCTCTACATTAATTACCCGAATTAGACTCCCTCTATTCTCCCATCTGCTAAGATGTTACAAGTTGAAGAAATGTTCCAATTGCACATGTGTGAATCTGTCAGGTATGCCCAATGCAAATTTCCAGCATTCCTCAAGATGCAAATTTCCAGCATTCCTCAGGACACTGATGGTTAAGATCAGTGAGTCCCCTGGAGTTGTGTGGAAAGCATAAGAAAAAGGTAAATATGAAAAATTCGTGTATAGCTGTTTTTGAATGAGACAGTTGTCTAAAGTAACGTGTGTTTCTTTAAATACCAGATAGTTGCCATGGTCACCAAAAACAATTCATTAAAAAAATCTACAGATTAAATGTAAGAGAAGTAATATAATATTTGCAGGAGTACTAAATGTACATACTTGACAGATATTAATGCAAGAAAAAGAAATACTTTTATGCAATTTACTTACCAGGTGAAAATAAAGACTGATTGACTTGGCAGAAACAAGAAGTTGACGTGCTGACGGTTGAATATATAGTACTCGATGTTGGTGGCGTAGTTTCAGATGAAACTGGGAATGTGGTTAGTTTAGATGAACTAAATGGTTGTGATACAGTTGTTGACAATGGAGTTGAATTTGAAGTAGACGATGTAGAAGAAGTAGAAAATAGCGATGTAGATACAGGAGGTGAAGTTGTTCCAGAAGTGGAAGTAATTGTTACAAATGATGATGACATTGCGGTACTTAATGATGATGTTGAAACAGAGGTAGTTGTTTTTGTTGAGGTAGTTGTTGAATAAGGTGGTGAGGTTGAAACAGAGTATTTAGTTGATGGTGTAGAAGATAATGTCACTTTGGTTGAGACAGTTGACGTAGAGGTTGTTGATGATACTACATAAGTCGAATTGGTTGGTGGTGGTGTTGTTGGTGGTCCACAATATTTAGCACAACATAAAATCCTGATCCTGTAATTTGAACACTGATTATTTAAGAAACTCTTCTGTTTTGAATTGAGACAAACCAGGCCATTTTGAAGGTCACAACTGTATACTTCTTTTGCTTCTTCACTGCTTGAGCGTGCTCTCTCACTGCTTGAATGTGCCTTTTCACCGCTTGATTTTGCCCTTTCACCACTTGAATGTGCCCTTTCACCGCTCGATCCTGAAGTCTCTACTGCATCACACTGGATGGAGCTCATCATTTCACTCTCTAAACAAACTTGATCTCCTCTGGATTTTAATGTTAACAGATTTTCATATTCTCCACCTGAACTGCCTTTTGTAGGTTTGTTTTCATCAATCCAGTTTGTGTAACGACAGTTCATTGTATATGGACATGTTGTTGAAGCAGTAACAAGAGTTGAGCTTGAAGTTGTGGAGGAGGAAGTTGGTGTAGAGGATGTGACCACTGTTGTCGTGGAAGCAGGATTAGAGGTTGTCAGTGATGATGATGTTGATGATGATGTTGAAACGATTGGAGTTGTTATTGTCGAAGTTGTTGTTGAAGAAGGAGTTGAAGAAGGAGTTGAGGTTGAAACAGAGTGAGGGGTTGATGGTGTAGATGATGATGATGTTACGTTAGTTGATGTAGAAATAGTCGATGGTGTATATGATGATGTTAATTTAGTTGATGTAGAAGTTGAAGTTGTTGAGGAGGAAGATGGTGTAGAGGATGTGACCACTGTAGATGTGGAAGTGGGTTTAGAGGTTGTTAGTGATGATGTTGATGATGATGTTGAAACGATTGGAGTTGTTATTGTGGAAGTTGTTGTTGAAGAAGGAGTTGAAGAAGGAGTTAAGGTTGAAACAGAGTGAGGGATCGATGGTGTAGATAATGAAGATGTTACTTTAGTTGATGTAGCAGTTGTCGATGATACTACGGAAGTCAATTCGGTTGGTGGTGGTGTTGTTGATGGTCCACAATATTTGGCACAACATAAAATCCTGATCCTGTAATTTGAACACTGATTATTTAAGAAACCCTTCTGTTTTGAATTGAGACAAACCAGGCCATTTTGAAGGTCACAACTGTATACTTCTTTTGCTTCTTCACTGCTTGAGCGTGCCCTCTCACTGCTTGATTTTGCCTTTTCACCACTTGATTTTGAACCTTCACCGCTCGATCCTGAAGTCTCTACTGCATCACACTGGATGGAGTTCATCATTTCACTTTCTGAACAAACTTGATATCCTCTGGATTTTAATGTTAGCAGATTTTCATATTCTCCACCTGATCTGCCTTTTGTAGGTTTGTTTTCATCAATCCAGTTTGTGTAACGACAGTTCATTGTATATGGACATGTTGTTGAAGTAGTAACAAGAGTAGAAGTTGAAGTTGTTGAGGAGGAAGATGGTGTAGAGGATGTGACCACTGTTGTTGTGGAAGTGGGTTTAGAGGTTGTTAGGGATGATGTCGATGATGATGTTGAAACAATTGGAGTTGTTATTGTTGAAGTTGTTGTTGAAGAAGGAGTTGAGGTTGAAACAGAGTAAGGGGTTGATGGTGTAGATGATGATGATGTTACTTTAGTTGATATAGAAGTAGTCGATGGTGTATATGATGATGTTACTTTAGTTGATGTAGAAGTTGTTGATGGTGTAGATGATGAAGATGTTACTTTAGTTGATGTAGCAGTTGTCGATGATACTACGGAAGATGACTCGGTTGGTGGTGGTGTTGTTGGTGGTGCACAATATTTGGCACAACATAAAATCCTGATCCTGTAATTTGAACACTGATTATTTAAGAAACCCTTCTGTTTTGAATTGAGACAAACCAGGCCATTTTGAAGGTCACAACTGTATACTTCTTTTGCTTCTTCACTGCTTGAGCGTGCCTGCTCACTGCTTGATTTTGCCTTTTCACCGCTTGATTTTGCCCTTTCGCCGCTCGATCCTGAAGTCTCTACTGCATCACACTGGATGGAGTTCATCATTTCACTTTCTGAACAAACTTGATATCCTCTGGATTTTAATGTTAGCAGATTTTCATATTCTCCACCTGATTTGCCTTTTGTAGGTTTGTTTTCATCAATCCAGTTTGTGTAACGACAGTTCATTGTATATGGACATGTTGTTGAAGTAGTAACAAGAGTAGAAGTTGAAGTTGTGGAGGAGGAAGTTGGTGTAGAGGATGTGACCACTGTTGTCGTGGAAGCAGGATTAGAGGTTGTCAGTGATGATGATGATGATGATGTTGAAACGATTGGAGTTGTTATTGTCGACGTTGTTGTTGAAGATGGAGTTGAAGAAGGAGTTGAGGTTGAAACAGAGTGAGGGGTTGATGGTGTAGATGATGATGATGTTACTTTAGTTGATGTAGAAGTAGTTGATGGTGTAGATGATGAAGATGTTACTTTAGTTGATGTAGCAGTTGTCGATGATACTACGGAAGTCGACTCGGTTGGTGGTGGTGTTGTTGGTGGTCCACAATATTTGGCACAACATAAAATCCTGATCCTGTAATTTGAACACTGATTATTTAAGAAACCCTTCTGTTTTGAATTGAGACAAACCAGGCCATTTTGAAGGTCACAACTGTATACTTCTTTTGCTTCTTCACTGCTTGAGCGTGCCCGCTCACTGCTTGATTTTGCCTTTTCACCGCTTGATTTTGCCCTTTCGCCGCTCGATCCTGAAGTCTCTACTGCATCACACTGGATGGAGTTCATCATTTCACTTTCTGAACAAACTTGATATCCTCTGGATTTTAATGTTAGCAGATTTTCATATTCTCCACCTGATTTGCCTTTTGTAGGTTTGTTTTCATCAATCCAGTTTGTGTAACGACAGTTCATTGTATATGGACATGTTGTTGAAGTAGTAACAAGAGTAGAAGTTGAAGTTGTGGAGGAGGAAGTTGGTGTAGAGGATGTGACCACTGTTGTCGTGGAAGAAGGATTAGAGGTTGTCAGTGATGATGATGTTGATGATGAAACGATTGGAGTTGTTATTGTCGACGTTGTTGTTGAAGAAGGAGTTGAAGAAGGAGTTGAGGTTGAAACAGAGTAAGGGGTTGATGGTGTAGATGATGATGATGTTACTTTAGTTGATATAGAAGTAGTCGATGGGGTATATGATGATGTTACTTTAGTTGATGTAGAAGTTGTTGATGGTGTAGATGATGAAGATGTTACTTTAGTTGATGTAGCAGTTGTCGATGATACTACGGAAGATGACTCGGTTGGTGGTGGTGTTGTTGGTGGTGCACAATATTTGGCACAACATAAAATCCTGATCCTGTAATTTGAACACTGATTATTTAAGAAACCCTTCTGTTTTGAATTGAGACAAACCAGGCCATTTTGAAGGTCACAACTGTATACTTCTTTTGCTTCTTCACTGCTTGAGCGTGCCTGCTCACTGCTTGATTTTGCCTTTTCACCGCTTGATTTTGCCCTTTCGCCGCTCGATCCTGAAGTCTCTACTGCATCACACTGGATGGAGTTCATCATTTCACTTTCTGAACAAACTTGATATCCTCTGGATTTCAATGTTAGCAGATTTTCATATTCTCCACCTGATCTGCCTTTTGTAGGTTTGTTTTCATCAATCCAGTTTGTGTAACGACAGTTCATTGTATATGGGCATGTTGTTGAAGTAGTAACAAGAGTAGAAGTTGAAGTTGTTGAGGAGGAAGATGGTGTAGAGGATGTGACAACTCTTGTTGTGGAACTGGGTTTAGAGGTTGTTAGTGATGATGTCGATGATGATGTTGAAACAATTGGAGTTGTTATTGTCGAAGTTGTTGTTGAAGAAGGAGTTGAAGAAGGAGTTGAGGTTGAAACAGAGTGAGGGATTGATGGTGTAGATGATGATGATGTTACATTAGTTGATGTAGAAGTAGTCGATGGTGTATATGATGATGTTAATTTAGTTGATGTAGAAGTTGAAGTTGTTGAGGAGGAAGATGGTGTAGAGGATGTGACAACTCTTGTTGTGGAAGAGGGTTTAGAGGTTGTTAGTGATGATGTCGATGATGATGTTGAAACAATTGGAGTTGTTATTGTCGAAGTTGTTGTTGAAGAAGGAGTTGAAGAAGGAGTTGAGGTTGAAACAGAGTAAGGGGTTGATGGTGTAGATGATGATGATGTTACTTTAGTTGATATAGAAGTAGTCGATGGTGTATATGATGTTACTTTAGTTGATGTAGAAGTAGTTGATGGTGTAGATGATGATGTTACTTTAGTTGATGTAGCAGTTGTCGATGATACTACGGAAGTTGACTCGGTTGGGGGTGGTGTTGTTGGTGGTCCACAATATTTGGCACAACATAAAATCCTGATCCTGTAATTTGAACACTGATTATTTAAGAAACCCTTCTGTTTTGAATTGAGACAAACCAGGCCATTTTGAAGGTCACAACTGTATACTTCTTTTGCTTCTTCACTGCTTGAGCGTGCCCTCTCACTGCTTGATTTTGCCTTTTCACCACTTGATTTTGCCCTTTCACCGCTCGATCCTGAAGTCTCTACTGCATCACACTGGATGGAGTTCATCATTTCACTTTCTGAACAAACTTGATAACCTCTGGATTTTAATGTTAGCAGATTTTCATATTCTCCACCTGATCTGCCTTTTGTAGGTTTGTTTTCATCAATCCAGTTTGTGTAACGACAGTTCATTGTATATGGACATGTTGTTGAAGTAGTAACAAGAGTAGAAGTTGAAGTTGTGGAGGAGGAAGTTGGTGTAGAGGATGTGACCACTGTTGTCGTGGAAGAAGGATTAGAGGTTGTCAGTGATGATGATGTTGATGATGAAACGATTGGAGTTGTTATTGTCGACGTTGTTGTTGAAGAAGGAGTTGAAGAAGGAGTTGAGGTTGAAACAGAGTAAGGGGTTGATGGTGTAGATGATGATGATGTTACTTTAGTTGATATAGAAGTAGTCGATGGGGTATATGATGATGTTACTTTAGTTGATGTAGAAGTTGTTGATGGTGTAGATGATGAAGATGTTACTTTAGTTGATGTAGCAGTTGTCGATGATACTACGGAAGATGACTCGGTTGGTGGTGGTGTTGTTGGTGGTGCACAATATTTGGCACAACATAAAATCCTGATCCTGTAATTTGAACACTGATTATTTAAGAAACCCTTCTGTTTTGAATTGAGACAAACCAGGCCATTTTGAAGGTCACAACTGTATACTTCTTTTGCTTCTTCACTGCTTGAGCGTGCCCTCTCACTGCTTGATTTTGCCTTTTCACCGCTTGATTTTGCCCTTTCACCGCTCGATCCTGAAGTCTCTACTGCATCACACTGGATGGAGTTCATCATTTCACTTTCTGAACAAACTTGATATCCTCTGGATTTTAATGTTAGCAGATTTTCATATTCTCCACCTGATCTGCCTTTTGTAGGTTTGTTTTCATCAATCCAGTTTGTGTAACGACAGTTCATTGTATATGGGCATGTTGTTGAAGTAGTAACAAGAGTAGAAGTTGAAGTTGTTGAGGAGGAAGATGGTGTAGAGGATGTGACCACTGTTGTTGTGGAAGTGGGTTTAGAGGTTGTTAGTGATGATGTTGATGATGATGTTGAAACGATTGGAGTTGTTATTGTTGAAGTTGTTGTTGAAGAAGGAGTTGAAGAAGGAGTTGAGGTTGAAACAGAGTAAGGGGTTGATGGTGTAGATGATGATGATGTTACTTTAGTTGATATAGAAGTAGTCGATGGTGTATATGATGTTACTTTAGTTGATGTAGAAGTAGTTGATGGTGTAGATGATGAAGATGTTACTTTAGTTGATGTAGCAGTTGTCGATGATACTACGGAAGTTGACTCGGTTGGGGGTGGTGTTGTTGGTGGTCCACAATATTTGGCACAACATAAAATCCTGATCCTGTAATTTGAACACTGATTATTTAAGAAACCCTTCTGTTTTGAATTGAGACAAACCAGGCCATTTTGAAGGTCACAACTGTACACTTCTTTTGCTTCTTCACTGCTTGAGCGTGCCCTCTCACTGCTTGATTTTTCCTTTTCACCACTTGATTTTGCCCTTTCACCGCTCGATCCTGAAGTCTCTACTGCATCACACTGGATGGAGTTCATCATTTCACTTTCTGAACAAACTTGATAACCTCTGGATTTTAATGTTAGCAGATTTTCATATTCTCCACCTGATCTGCCTTTTGTAGGTTTGTTTTCATCAATCCAGTTTGTGTAACGACAGTTCATTGTATATGGGCATGTTGTTGAAGTAGTAACAAGAGTAGAAGTTGAAGTCGTTGAGGAGGAAGATGGTGTAGAGGATGTGACAACTCTTGTCGTGGAAGCAGGATTAGAGGTTGTCAGTGATGATGACGTCGATGATGATGTTGAAACGATTGGAGTTGTTATTGTCGAAGTTGTTGTTGAAGAAGGAGTTGAAGATGGAGTTGAGGTTGAAACAGAGTGAGGGATTGATGGTGTAGATGATGATGTTACATTAGTTGATGTAGAAGTAGTCGATGGTGTATATGATGATGTTAATTTAGTTGATGTAGAAGTTGAAGTTGTTGAGGAGGAAGATGGTGTAGAGGATGTGACAACTCTTGTTGTGGAAGAGGGTTTAGAGGTTGTTAGTGATGATGTCGATGATGATGTTGAAACAATTGGAGTTGTTATTGTCGAAGTTGTTGTTGAAGAAGGAGTTGAAGAAGGAGTTGAGGTTGAAACAGAGTAAGGGGTTGATGGTGTAGATGATGATGATGTTACTTTAGTTGATATAGAAGTAGTCGATGGTGTATATGATGTTACTTTAGTTGATGTAGAAGTAGTTGATGGTGTAGATGATGATGTTACTTTAGTTGATGTAGCAGTTGTCGATGATACTACGGAAGTTGACTCGGTTGGGGGTGGTGTTGTTGGTGGTCCACAATATTTGGCACAACATAAAATCCTGATCCTGTAATTTGAACACTGATTATTTAAGAAACCCTTCTGTTTTGAATTGAGACAAACCAGGCCATTTTGAAGGTCACAACTGTATACTTCTTTTGCTTCTTCACTGCTTGAGCGTGCCCTCTCACTGCTTGATTTTGCCTTTTCACCACTTGATTTTGCCCTTTCACCGCTCGATCCTGAAGTCTCTACTGCATCACACTGGATGGAGTTCATCATTTCACTTTCTGAACAAACTTGATAACCTCTGGATTTTAATGTTAGCAGATTTTCATATTCTCCACCTGATCTGCCTTTTGTAGGTTTGTTTTCATCAATCCAGTTTGTGTAACGACAGTTCATTGTATATGGGCATGTTGTTGAAGTAGTAACAAGAGTAGAAGTTGAAGTTGTTGAGGAGGAAGATGGTGTAGAGGATGTGACAACTCTTGTTGTGGAAGTGGGTTTAGAGGTTGTTAGTGATGATGTCGATGATGATGTTGAAACAATTGGAGTTGTTATTGTTGAAGTTGTTGTTGAAGAAGGAGTTGAAGAAGGAGTTGAGGTTGAAACAGAGTAAGGGGTTGATGGTGTAGATGATGATGATGTTACTTTAGTTGATATAGAAGTAGTCGATGGTGTATATGATGTTACTTTAGTTGATGTAGAAGTAGTTGATGGTGTAGATGATGAAGATGTTACTTTAGTTGATGTAGCAGTTGTCGATGATACTACGGAAGTTGACTCGGTTGGGGGTGGTGTTGTTGGTGGTCCACAATATTTGGCACAACATAAAATCCTGATCCTGTAATTTGAACACTGATTATTTAAGAAACCCTTCTGTTTTGAATTGAGACAAACCAGGCCATTTTGAAGGTCACAACTGTACACTTCTTTTGCTTCTTCACTGCTTGAGCGTGCCCTCTCACTGCTTGATTTTTCCTTTTCACCACTTGATTTTGCCCTTTCACCGCTCGATCCTGAAGTCTCTACTGCATCACACTGGATGGAGTTCATCATTTCACTTTCTGAACAAACTTGATAACCTCTGGATTTTAATGTTAGCAGATTTTCATATTCTCCACCTGATCTGCCTTTTGTAGGTTTGTTTTCATCAATCCAGTTTGTGTAACGACAGTTCATTGTATATGGGCATGTTGTTGAAGTAGTAACAAGAGTAGAAGTTGAAGTCGTTGAGGAGGAAGATGGTGTAGAGGATGTGACAACTCTTGTCGTGGAAGCAGGATTAGAGGTTGTCAGTGATGATGATGTCGATGATGATGTTGAAACGATTGGAGTTGTTATTGTCGAAGTTGTTGTTGAAGAAGGAGTTGAAGATGGAGTTGAGGTTGAAACAGAGTGAGGGATTGATGGTGTAGATGATGATGTTACATTAGTTGATGTAGAAGTAGTCGATGGTGTATATGATGATGTTAATTTAGTTGATGTAGAAGTTGAAGTTGTTGAGGAGGAAGATGGTGTAGAGGATGTGACAACTCTTGTTGTGGAAGAGGGTTTAGAGGTTGTTAGTGATGATGTCGATGATGATGTTGAAACAATTGGAGTTGTTATTGTCGAAGTTGTTGTTGAAGAAGGAGTTGAAGAAGGAGTTGAAGTTGAAACAGAGTAAGGGGTTGATGGTGTAGATGATGATGATGTTACTTTAGTTGATATAGAAGTAGTCGATGGTGTATATGATGTTACTTTAGTTGATGTAGAAGTAGTTGATGGTGTAGATGATGATGTTACTTTAGTTGATGTAGCAGTTGTCGATGATACTACGGAAGTTGACTCGGTTGGGGGTGGTGTTGTTGGTGGTCCACAATATTTGGCACAACATAAAATCCTGATCCTGTAATTTGAACACTGATTATTTAAGAAACCCTTCTGTTTTGAATTGAGACAAACCAGGCCATTTTGAAGGTCACAACTGTATACTTCTTTTGCTTCTTCACTGCTTGAGCGTGCCCTCTCACTGCTTGATTTTGCCTTTTCACCACTTGATTTTGCCCTTTCACCGCTCGATCCTGAAGTCTCTACTGCATCACACTGGATGGAGTTCATCATTTCACTTTCTGAACAAACTTGATAACCTCTGGATTTTAATGTTAGCAGATTTTCATATTCTCCACCTGATCTGCCTTTTGTAGGTTTGTTTTCATCAATCCAGTTTGTGTAACGACAGTTCATTGTATATGGGCATGTTGTTGAAGTAGTAACAAGAGTAGAAGTTGAAGTTGTTGAGGAGGAAGATGGTGTAGAGGATGTGACAACTCTTGTTGTGGAAGAGGGTTTAGAGGTTGTTAGTGATGATGTCGATGATGATGTTGAAACAATTGGAGTTGTTATTGTCGAAGTTGTTGTTGAAGAAGGAGTTGAAGAAGGAGTTGAGGTTGAAACAGAGTAAGGGGTTGATGGTGTAGATGATGATGATGTTACTTTAGTTGATATAGAAGTAGTCGATGGTGTATATGATGTTACTTTAGTTGATGTAGAAGTAGTTGATGGTGTAGATGATGAAGATGTTACTTTAGTTGATGTAGCAGTTGTCGATGATACTACGGAAGTTGACTCGGTTGGGGGTGGTGTTGTTGGTGGTCCACAATATTTGGCACAACATAAAATCCTGATCCTGTAATTTGAACACTGATTATTTAAGAAACCCTTCTGTTTTGAATTGAGACAAACCAGGCCATTTTGAAGGTCACAACTGTACACTTCTTTTGCTTCTTCACTGCTTGAGCGTGCCCTCTCACTGCTTGATTTTTCCTTTTCACCACTTGATTTTGCCCTTTCACCGCTCGATCCTGAAGTCTCTACTGCATCACACTGGATGGAGTTCATCATTTCACTTTCTGAACAAACTTGATAACCTCTGGATTTTAATGTTAGCAGATTTTCATATTCTCCACCTGATCTGCCTTTTGTAGGTTTGTTTTCATCAATCCAGTTTGTGTAACGACAGTTCATTGTATATGGGCATGTTGTTGAAGTAGTAACAAGAGTAGAAGTTGAAGTCGTTGAGGAGGAAGATGGTGTAGAGGATGTGACAACTCTTGTCGTGGAAGCAGGATTAGAGGTTGTCAGTGATGATGACGTCGATGATGATGTTGAAACGATTGGAGTTGTTATTGTCGAAGTTGTTGTTGAAGAAGGAGTTGAAGATGGAGTTGAGGTTGAAACAGAGTGAGGGATTGATGGTGTAGATGATGATGTTACATTAGTTGATGTAGAAGTAGTCGATGGTGTATATGATGATGTTAATTTAGTTGATGTAGAAGTTGAAGTTGTTGAGGAGGAAGATGGTGTAGAGGATGTGACCACTGTTGTTGTGGAAATGGGTTTAGAGGTTGTTAGTGATGATTTTGATGATGATGTTGAAACGATTGGAGTTGTTATTGTTGAAGTTGTTGTTGAAGAAGGAGTTGAAGAAGGAGTTGAGGTTGAAACAGAGTAAGGGGTTGATGGTGTAGATGATGATGATGTTACTTTAGTTGATATAGAAGTAGTCGATGGTGTATATGATGTTACTTTAGTTGATGTAGAAGTTGTTGATGGTGTAGATGATGAAGATGTTACTTTAGTTGATGTAGCAGTTGTCGATGATACTACGGAAGTTGACTCGGTTGGTGGTGGTGTTGTTGGTGGTCCACAATATTTGGCACAACATAAAATCCTGATCCTGTAATTTGAACACTGATTATTTAAGAAACCCTTCTGTTTTGAATTGAGACAAACCAGGCCATTTTGAAGGTCACAACTGTATACTTCTTTTGCTTCTTCACTGCTTGAGCGTGCCCTCTCACTGCTTGATTTTGCCTTTTCACCGCTTGATTTTGCCCTTTCACCGCTCGATCCTGAAGTCTCTACTGCATCACACTGGATGGAGTTCATCATTTCACTTTCTGAACAAACTTGATATCCTTTGGATTTTAATGTTAGCAGATTTTCATATTCTCCACCTGATCTGCCTTTTGTAGGTTTGTTTTCATCAATCCAGTTTGTGTAACGACAGTTCATTGTATATGGGCATGTTGTTGAAGTAGTAACAAGAGTAGAAGTTGAAGTTGTTGAGGAGGAAGATGGTGTAGAGGATGTGACCACTGTTGTTGTGGAAGTGGGTTTAGAGGTTGTTAGTGATGATGTTGATGATGATGTTGAAACGATTGGAGTTGTTATTGTTGAAGTTGTTGTTGAAGAAGGAGTTGAAGAAGGAGTTGAGGTTGAAACAGAGTAAGGGGTTGATGGTGTAGATGATGATGATGTTACTTTAGTTGATATAGAAGTAGTCGATGGTGTATATGATGTTACTTTAGTTGATGTAGAAGTTGTTGATGGTGTAGATGATGAAGATGTTACTTTAGTTGATGTAGCAGTTGTCGATGATACTACGGAAGTTGACTCGGTTGGTGGTGGTGTTGTTGGTGGTCCACAATATTTGGCACAACATAAAATCCTGATCCTGTAATTTGAACACTGATTATTTAAGAAACCCTTCTGTTTTGAATTGAGACAAACCAGGCCATTTTGAAGGTCACAACTGTATACTTCTTTTGCTTCTTCACTGCTTGAGCGTGCCCTCTCACTGCTTGATTTTGCCTTTTCACCGCTTGATTTTGCCCTTTCACCGCTCGATCCTGAAGTCTCTACTGCATCACACTGGATGGAGTTCATCATTTCACTTTCTGAACAAACTTGATATCCTTTGGATTTTAATGTTAGCAGATTTTCATATTCTCCACCTGATCTGCCTTTTGTAGGTTTGTTTTCATCAATCCAGTTTGTGTAACGACAGTTCATTGTATATGGGCATGTTGTTGAAGTAGTAACAAGAGTAGAAGTTGAAGTTGTTGAGGAGGAAGATGGTGTAGAGGATGTGACAACTCTTGTTGTGGAAGTGGGTTTAGAGGTTGTTAGTGATGATGTCGATGATGATGTTGAAACAATTGGAGTTGTTACTGTTGAAGTTGTTGTTGAAGAAGGAGTTGAAGAAGGAGTTGAGGTTGAAACAGAGTAAGGGGTTGATGGTGTAGATGATGATGTTACTTTAGTTGATATAGAAGTAGTCGATGGTGTATATGATGTTACTTTAGTTGATGTAGAAGTTGTTGATGGTGTAGATGATGAAGATGTTACTTTAGTTGATGTAGCAGTTGTCGATGATACTACGGAAGTTGACTCGGTTGGTGGTGGTGTTGTTGGTGGTCCACAATATTTGGCACAACATAAAATCCTGATCCTGTAATTTGAACACTGATTATTTAGGAAACCCTTCTGTTTTGAATTGAGACAAACCAGGCCATTTTGAAGGTCACAACTGTATACTTCTTTTGCTTCTTCACTGCTTGAGCGTGCCCTCTCACTGCTTGAATGTGCCTTTTCACCGCTTGATTTTGCCCTTTCACTGCTCGATCCTGAAGTCTCTACTGCATCACACTGGATGGAGTTCATCATTTCACTTTCTGAACAAACTTGATATCCTCTGGATTTTAATGTTAGCAGATTTTCATATTCTCCACCTGATCTGCCTTTTGTAGGTTTGTTTTCATCAATCCAGTTTGTGTAACGACAGTTCATTGTATATGGGCATGTTGTTGAAGTAGTAACAAGAGTAGAAGTTGAAGTTGTTGAGGAGGAAGATGGTGTAGAGGATGTGAGCACTGTTTTTGTGGAAGTGGGTTTAGAGGTTGTTAGGGATGATGTTGATGATGATGTTGAAGAAGAAGTTAAAGTTGAAACAGACTGAGGGGTTGAAGGTGTAGATGGTGATGATGTAGAAGTTGTTGATCGTGTAGATGATGATAATGTTACTTTAGTTGATGAAATGGTAAATGATGGGGTAGAGGTAGAAATTACTGGTGTTGTTTTTGTTGAGGTAGTTGACAAATGAGCTGAAGTTGAAACAGAAGAATAGGTTGATGGTGGAGATGTCACTTTTGTTGATACTGTTGGTATACTTTCTGTAGTTTCTGTTTCTGTTGTGTAACATTTATTGTTTGCAACACAGCATTGAACCCTTATTTCATAATTGTAGCAGAGTGGGTAATTCTTGCTATTGAGACACAGAAGTCCAATATCCTTGTTGCATATTAGATCCTGTTTTAAATCTTGTAGTTTTTCATCAGGGAATTCCTTTGCTCTGCATTCTATATTTTGTGGAGCATCACATATATTATATCCAAATTTTCTAATATTTTCAAAAGTTTCAAAATCTCCTTTGTTGTTTCCATACTTTGGATAGGTCACATCATACCAGTCTGTCCAATTGCATGAAACTGTAGAAGCATCCACAGAACACACTGGAAAAAGAGAAAAATAAAAAAATAAAAACATTTTCTTTGCTTATATAAGTTATAATGTAAGGCAAGCAAAAATACCATGGATTTATCAGAATCTAGAGTTTAGTGGAAAGTGATACAAATGTAAAATAGATGGATGGAATGAGGGATGGATGTATGGGTGTATGGATGGATGGGCAAAATTTGACTTTAACAAAATTCATTTAACTGGAATAATTTTTAATTTTTTTAAAAAAAAGTTTTTATTTTTATACAATTTAGCATTTTTTTATTGGCCCTGTTCATTTAATTCAGTTTGTGCTACTGACACCCAGTGTGACTAACTCAGCTAGTAGAGAATTGAATTCCTGCAGCCTGCTATACGCTATTAAAATGTATCTATATTGCTATGTGTTATGCAGCACTAATTGTGTTACATCTGGAAAATTTAATTTATTCATGCCAACCTGACTTTTTCTCTCTTTTGAAGTGATCATTATTCAAGGACCCAGTATGTGCAAGTCAGGATGATATCCTGCACATAATTAGATATTTAATGTTGCTGCCGGATATGTAACCCAATCTCCAGCAGATTTTAATAGCCTAAAATAGCTCATAGTAATCCTTTAAGCTATGACTCTACTTTCAAGATACTGGTATAAGATATTTTAATAGTAATGAAAAGGAATGTACAGAACAATTGCCAGGTCACCAGTATTTCCATTTAATCCTGTAAATTATAGTCTGTTATAGTCTGTTACTTATTATTTTCTTTTTTTAATGATATCATTATCATGCCTATGGAGTATTGCTATGGTGTCACGTGCATGCATGTAAACAGATTTTTACAGATAACTACAACTTTTGCATGACTTTCAATTGATTTTTTTTTTTACTTTTTCACATTTTTGAACCGCTCTAAATGTAATAGGCCAAATATATATATATATGTATACTTGCATGTGCACGTTTTATCTATGTGTTTTATTGTAGAACAATATCTTACCTGTGATGACAGGGGAACTGGTTGTTGCAATAGGGCTGGTAGTGGAGAAGACAAATGTTGTAGTTGACACAGTTGTAGTACTTTGATAGCAATTGGTATTAGTTCTATTGATTGTGCTATTAACACATATGGCTATAATACAACCTCCAATGCCATCAGTTGTGTTATAAATTACGTCTCCGTCCTTATACATTCGCTTTTCATAAATACAACCTGCAGAAATATAAAACATGTTGGTGAGCCTACTGAAAACCTAAACGCATCAGTCTATATGATGTAAAAGATAATAGAGATTCAAAATAATTTCAATTAAATTTAACTCTCCTATTAATATCTGTAACAAAATTACTTTTTAGTCTCATAATCATTATTATAACATTCATATTCAAATTTTCTGTTACTACTTCAAGCGTGAAAATGCCCCAATAACCCTTGGTTTTTTAATCAGGGTTTTGGTCATTAAATAGCGGGTAGTGGTGTTTTGACATCTGACAAAATTTAGGAAAAAATTAATAGAATTAAAGAATCTCCAGTTTGGCAAAGGACATTTTTTCCCCAACTTTATTATTTTGATCCAAGTCATCCTGACTGACAGGATTATGCACTAGAGTGAGAATTGTTAGGAATTCAAAATTAATTCAAAGTAAATTCAAATTTAATGCCAAAATACCCAAACTAAAAACAGAATTAACTTTCAATTTTTTTTTTCTAAATTGGCCTTTTGTCCTAGATTTTGAAATTGACTTTGAATTCCTGGCAATTCTCACTCTAGTGAATAACCACATAAATGTTACAATTTGCAGTCTTTGGAAAGTGGTTTCTAAAGAGGTCATACATTGTATTCCATTTGGAATATAATCATTAAAGAACATGTTGTCATTGTTTTTTACATTGTTAATATAGCTAAAATTCAGAAAATAGACCACACAATATTTGATCTCCTTGAGTGGAGCCTGTGGTTTATTTAAACAAGTATAAATAATTAACATTTATATCTAATGGGCAGGGGGGGGAATGAATTCAGCAAAAGAGAGAAGTTGCCTGATACCTTTTCAGCCAGGATTGCACAAGATTGCAGTTTTGCTCCAACGTTCTTATTGAAAGGAAGTTTGGTAATAGACAAGTGATTGTTCTTCTCAATAGATTTTAAGGATTCACCATGCTATAACTTCAGTTCACATTAAGTGAACAGTGTGGCCCTTGCGGCTTACCACAAACATGGAGAGTTCACTCTGAACTTGTGTATATCATAATCCACACTAGGCAGTGTCATTTGTAAGCCAAGATCAGGGTAGGCAACCTTCGGCACTCTGGATATTGTGAACTACATCTCCCAAAATGCTGGCAAAGCTTCAAGGGGGATGTAGTCCACAACATCTGGAATGTCATATGTTTCTCACTCCTGGCCTGGTGGCAAGTGTACTCTGAACAGTGCCGTAGGTAAAGAAATCATTAAATGAGCCAAGTTAGGTATCTGAATATTATTGGGAAGCAATAAATTATTATTATTGTGTGCTCATAGAAATGGCTTTTAGGCAAAATTATTTCCTATCTGCAAATTGCTATTCTAAATAAAATGTGCACGTTTACTGGTAATTGTTGCTTATCATTTGGCACATCTGTGTGGGATAGTTCTTCCTAAGCATAGATTGTGAATTCTCTGAATGAAGTCACTGTTTGCAAGGGCTACGGCCAGCAACCTGATCTCACACATGCACAGACTTAAGATAAGTTGAAGCTCTCTAAAAATGAAAGAAAGCTATTTTCAGGAATTTAGGTAGAAAGGGCTTAGACATATTCTTACCATGGTCCGTACATTGTTTACCCTCTTTCGTGCATGTCCTGAAAAACAAAGACAATTGGCAAATGGTCTTAGTATTTAAGTATCTTGTACAGAATCTTATTTCACAGCTACATTAAAAAGAAAAATCACAACCAAATAATAAAGTGTCCCTATGCTATGTTGTAAATTGTGATTTGCATTTTGTACTTTATTCTTATTCTGATAACTGGTTAACTCTTCTGTTGGTAAAATATGTATTGTTATTCTAATATTTGAAACAATTAAAAATAAGCATATATGTTGCCCACTATGTATACTGGCATATTTGTGACATATTCCAAGCCTCCGCCATCTCTTCCTGAAACCCTGAAAGTGCATTGTAGACCCTGTGGCTAACTTTAAATATCACCCGGCATTATTATTAAATAACTGAAGTATTTAATACTGAAGAAAAGATTTTAATATTGCTTTGTGACCTGAATCTGTTTCACTAGTTACCCCTAAAAAGTAGATGAGTTATACATTTTTTACATTAACATTTCCAGCTGTCTATCAATGTTTTTTTACATATTTGATCTATTTGATCTATGATAAGGCATTACTGTCACTTTAACGTTTAAATTGGTGTGCATTGCTCATGTGAAATGAAGAATCTGGTCTTACCAGGTTGTGCAATTTTCTTTTTCATCTTCTCTAGGCATGAAATCGCCGATATTATATATTGTTCCATTTTTATCATAACAGTCGCAAGTTGGCACACACTTCATAGTTTCCTCATCAAAGTAAGGTCTATCTTCTGGGCAGCTAGGGTAACATCCTGTGAACAGAAAACAAACATTTTTTAGTAATAATTCATGCAATCATACATTTATAGCATACAGTGGTAACATCATATGTGTTATAAAATGGTTGTTTTCATGATTTGATATTTTCCAATGCAATAGTCACATTTCTGTTGGTCAAATAATTCATTAACATTTTTTGTATATTATATATATCCATGCAAAGCGGAAAAAGTTAATGAATTCTTTCAGCAGAAACATAGAAATGTGATCATAGCATCGGGAAATATCAAATCATGAAAACAACACTTTTATAATACACTATGTAGCAATATGGATCTTATGTTAAGCATTAGTGACCATCCCTGAAATCTACAAAATCCTGGGTCCTGTCATTTCTACACCAACAGCACCAGTTATTAGCATCATATCTACTTTTTGGTGAAGGGATAAAAGCAGGAGATCTTATGCCCTAGAGGTGAATATGTTCATTCCCTACGTTTTAAGGACATCGATTTCTAGACACTCTTAGTTTTTAACATACGAAAAGAAAAAAAGAGAGAGGTCTCTCCTAGGATAAATTTCCAAATTAGGGCATAACCCTCTATATATTATAACTGAAAGAGAGAAAAAAAAGAACTTCAGTCCCTAAATACATAAAATCAGAAATTTAAGTTTGGAAATTCCCATGGTAGATAAAATTACTACTTGCTGGACAGAAATCCCAAGTTACAACTATTAGTGAAAAACTACATTAAAAAATACCACTTGAATTGTGCCTCTATAATTATGGATATTTCCTTTATTAAGCTAGGGTTTAGAAAAGTGGTCTATTAACTAAATCACCAATAGGAGAGAGAGAGAGAGAGAGACAGGGAAAATGAAAAATACAAATGATAGAGAACCTACTATATTGCAGGGTAGGGTAAAAAAGCCCTTCACATGAATAATATGTGATTGCTTGCAAGAAAAGGAGAAGCTTGTCACCTTAAATTGCTATATAAAGAGTAACAATGTGATTAGAGTATAGGAGATCTTCAATTGAGTTGAAACCTAAGTAACATGAGCCCCCTTGAAACTACAAAAAAAGTTACATAAATTGCTACTAAGTAGCAATAAGGTAAAGTCCCAGGGGTAGCTAGATACTAGGTAACATAAATACAGTTATAACCACCTAAAAATAAAACTAACTTAAATCATAGTGCTGGCTACAAATAAACAAAAGTCAAACAAAAAGATAAAAGTTAGAAACGCCCGCTGCGTGTTTCAGCGCTAATAAATAATGCACCTTCATCTGGAGCTAGCCTTCATATAGCTATAAAGATGGACAGATTGCATTGTTGGGAACTCCTTTCAGGGAATTTCTACAGCCTCCCACACCCTCTTACCCACCCACTTATCCAGTCCAGACCAGTCCACTAATGACAGAAAATTCTCATTCTCCCCTGACTAACACAGCAGGGAGAGAAAAATGTGACATGAATCATATGTATCAGACTCTCTCTTCTACCCCTGTCAAAATGTTTCAAGGTGAAACAATCTTCTACCTGCACATGCGTGAGTCTGTCAGGCATGCCCAATGCAATTTTCCAGCATTTCTATGGAATTGGTTAGATCAGTGTCCTTTTCTTCATCCTGCAGAGTGAGGCAACTGTCTTATTTAAAGCTAAAGCTTTTGAATGAGACAATTGTTTTAAAGAAATGCATGCTCTTTTAAGATTCTCTACTTCACTAATTAGTTCACAAAAAATGGAGCCCGGGCCCTCACTCTCTTATCTTCTAGTTCCAGAAGACAAAGAAATATAGATGTGAGAATAAGCATCTAAAGTGAACAAAGAAAATAGTGCTACTTTAATCTTAATCCCGTTTCTTAATCTTAATCTAATTATATGTGAGCCATTAAATTAATATAGTTATTTATCTCATCTATAAAGATAAGATGAGGTCCTTTCATTAGTTGTGGCTAAAGTCTTTATGCACAGGTAGAATAATTAAATGAATGGAACACCATGCAGTAATGGAAAAAGGAGATCTACAGAATCATTAGATAAAAAGGTCTTATTATTCAATGACAAAGAATTGGTGGGCTATACAACTTACAAAATAGAAACCTATATGACAACATTGTTCATGTATTGGAAGTCATACCTTCTAACCCTGATAATTTATGATAGCAGGTTCCACCTCGGTTTCTACAGGTCTTCATACATGGTGCTCCACATGCTTTGTAGTGCCATTCACAGTGTCCTTCAGAATTGTAGTAATCACAGAACACAGCTGTGGGTGAAAAAGTGAAATTTTAAGGATTTTCTAAAATATGATTTTTTTTTTTATATTCACTTGTAAAATATCACTAATATGTACAATAGATATCACGCTAAATATTTGTAACAATGACTTATCTCAACTAGAAAAGCTACAATTTTCCACCAGTAGTCTACAACTGGAGTGGGCGGAGTAAATGTTATTATTTATTTATATAGCACATTTAATTGCAACGTTGTTGCCCAAAGTGCTTCACAGTTACATTAAAACATACATTTATAAAAACATTAGCAGGTGTACAAAAGGCCCTGTCTATGACATCACTTGCTGCTCCAGCCTGGCACAGGTCAGAGTATTTTGGCGGTTGCCATCTTCAAACGGTCGTATGCATCCTACAGCAAAGAGCTTTATATTGTGAGAATCACAAGACCCAGACCTACATTTTGATGCATAGTATGTCTCTGAAGTATTAAAAATGAAGGCACAGTCGCAGAAATTGCCCTTCAAGTGTGGGCTGGCTAGAGTGTAGTTTCAATGAATGTCAATGGACGGCGTGAGTTGCAAACAAATGGTCATATTGTGAAAACTATCAGGACTATGGCTTAGCCGTGGAAATGTTTAGTGGCAGCAGGGATAGCTGAACGTTTTGATTTAAGATTTGTGTAGGTGGGCTTGAAAATGAAGGAGTGGTGGCAGTTTAGAAATCATGTCCTGATTTTTCGGCTTTTGTCAGCTCCCACTCTAGTTTTGAACATGTTGCCATTCATTCCTATGGGACCAATTTCGCCACAAGAACAACAATATTCCGTGAACCATTCGGCGGAACGTTCCACAAAGTACTAGCAATCCGACCGGGAACAATCCGCATTCGGTATATTACTGTCTATGTAGTGTAAAAACTCTGGGAGGAGTTAGGGTGTTAAATTTGGCTATAATAAGAATAATATATATGTAAGATAACATTAAGTGGTCTTGCTATGCAAGAACACTTAATAATATATATGTGAGATAACATTAAGTGGTCTTGCTATGCAAGAACACTTAATTTGAAAAATAGATGAAATGTTAGCAATCGCAATTTTATAAAAAAAAACAAAAAACTTCTGCCAATATCTGCTTGATAGATTTAATTGGTTTAATTGGTTTTTATTCTGTGGCTGCAGAACTTATTGGACAGATGATGTGTTGTGATAATTCCTATGGAGTTCCTCATTAATGGGGGCGTAGTTGAGAAGTAAAGTTTAGTCCAACCCACACACACTAATACCAATTACACTCAGTTTGGTCCAAGAACACCAGGACCAGCATGGTTTGTATTTTAAAGATTTTAATAAAGGTCTTCTAATGTGTTTTTTTTTTTTTTAATTATAACCTCCCCAGGTGTCATGTCCACTGCATGATGGCACCATGGTAGGAGAAGAGCTTACTGTAAGCTCTCCGATTTTGGTTCCATAAATTCCCTATGTTCAAATCCTAAGCTACCTTGATCAGTGTCATTTATATACTCTTGTGCATGTTTAAAACTACAGAACAAAACCTTGCTTGGTGATGTTCTTGCATTTTCCTGGGCTCCGTTACCCCCCCAGGTTGGTGGGGGTGATCCCGGCCTTCACTGACAAACTCAGAAACTCACTAAGCCACCTAAAGGTTCCAAAATGGTTGACATACGTGATTGTTTCTAGTAGGACTTACTAAAGGCATTTGACCGATTGTGCATCTCTTTTTAGCAGAAGTTGGCTACCAAATCATCACCTGATGTATCACAGCACAATCTTCATTGCCACGATTTGACCTAGAAGAGCTGGAGGCTGTGGAGGGTTACAATGTTCCCATTGTCTGCAGTTACAGGGCAAAATGGTGCTGCAAACTTTCTTCAGGCAGCGGGCAATTAGGGTCATTTGACACTGGCACAGCTTCCACACGCGAAGGCCCAGAAGCAGATCTGTTACTTTACATAGAAGAATTGTACTCTGCACAGGCATTGGGACAACTCAGAATGCCTAATGCTTTCTGGCTGGAGAGCCCTGTGACACTAAGACAATGGGTTACTAACAGCACTCCACCTCCGGGGTACTTCCTATGCACACAGTTCATTTTTGGTGTTAAGAATTTTTATTTTACAAGATTTTATCTTTATTTTTATGATTTTTTTGCCATTGAAACTAATGACTTATTAGACTTATTAGAAAAGATTAGAATGTCTGCTTGCTAGTCAGTGTCACGCTCTATTTGCTAATACACAAGAATTCTGTATGGCCCAATTGCACTAATAATAATAGTAGTTGTGGCGAAACCGACCGCGCCACGTGTCCTTGGAGGGGGCTGCTTGCCCGCCTCTTGCCTTTGGACTATGGACCAGACTTTATGTGAATGTTTTAATCCAGATAGCTATGCCATGGAGCCCATTCGTGTAGTTAAAGACTTCGGCTCAATGGCAATTGAACTGTGTGAATAGGATCTGAGCGCTATTCAGTAGTTATGTGAAATGTCTGTGTTTTATGTATAAAAGGTGACTTTATGTATTTTAAAGTGTTTTGTGTCTTTTTGCAACCATGTGCTTAATGGAGTCTTGTGTCTGTCCTGGGAGATAATTGAATTACTTATCTCCAGGATAGAAGACTCTGAAACTGGTTTGGGCCAGAAAGCCATGCTTCATTTAGTCACAAAGGACTTTCCCTTAACTTTTGAACCCCTGGTCTGATTCGTGCCATTTTTTAATATGTTGTTCCCCTGAATGGATTGATTATGAAAATGTATGTTTTATGTTTGTGACATTTATATTTTAGGAGTTATAAATATTGTGTAAAAACTGTATTCCTCTGCCGGTGATAATGAGATTACCCATTGTGTTCAGTAATCATATCACATGCAGAGGGGAGGATTTTGTGTGGGAGTGTCTGGGTGTATTGTACGGATTGATTGGTTGTTTTGTAACGCCCTATGGGCTGTACTATGTTTGTGGATTGGGAATAAAAGAGACTGTATGTGACAGTACAGGGAGTTCCTGTTTTAACCCTCAAAGTGAAGTGTCGTCTCATTATTGGGGGAAGGATTTATTGTATGCTGTTCCAGTTTGACTGCTAGGAGAGTAAACCTATTCGTATGGTTCCTATTCAACTGTCTACAGCATTCATATGCTTGAGAGAAGGTATACGCTTCTCTGGTTCGGTGATTGTGGTGTCTGCTGCAGTGCTTGGCGTCCTCAGGAAGCGCTAGGAGCATCTTTCAACGGAGGTACCCAGTCGGGGTGCCAGGCGATCCGTTACAGTAGTTATGCTTCCAGTTAATTGACCAAATAAGTAATATGTAAAAATGAGATGTTTCTATTAACCAAACATATATTCGACATGTAAAGTATCACTCTTGCTAACTATGCTGATATATCCGATATATCCTGGTACAAGTTTATTTATGTCTGTATCTTGCAATCATCTCAAAAACTGAAAGACTACAGCACAAAGAATCCTCATAGGAAGGGTCCCTCACAGATGTTCTTGAGCATGTACAATGTAAATCTATAAACATGAGTGACATCTGATAGGAGGAAAGTGGATGTCATTAAAGGCCTGCCTTTTGCCTTGTGTTGCAATATTAATTGTCCTACACAAGGAAAAGTCCATATTTCCATTTTTGTGAACATAAGCAGACATTTTGTTTTTGGAGATGGTGGGAGAGAAACATCATAAGTAAAAAAAGTGATTCAATAAATGGATGCTTTACATCTATATCATGGAAAATTAGCATGTTTATTTTTCCTGTTTTATTTACAGCAGGAAAAAAAAAACTGGTTTAACTCAATTAAGCAAAGTCATTATTATCAATGAAGTTACTATGAAATAAATAAGTAGCCCTTGATTTAATTAGATTGATATCTGTTAGAAGAAATATTTTCAAATGATTTGTCAACAGAAGTCACCATTTAAGTCTATGAGAATTTTTGTAGATAAATAATTTGAACTGATGGAATCATTCTAATGTTGATTCAAATACATTGTGGCTATAATAAGATCTCTTGAAGTTTACTCACGGCACATTGTTGGACTTCTCCAAGTCACACAGGCTCCAGCTTCACTGCAAGCTTGGGCATATGCTGCTACAGCTGTACAGAAGCACTCACAATCTCCACCAGTGTCACAGGCACAAGCATCATTAACACAAGCATCATAATAACTAATGGCGTTGACCTAGAAGTTGAACACATGGACATTTTTTAAAATGGAAGGAATCATTGTTAATGAGTTGAATATTATATATATATATATATATATATATATGAAAATTTCCACTAGCCATTGATAAGTAAAAATGTAGTTCTGGCGAGTGGAAATTCACCCTTGGTGAATGTGCCATGGACCCTCCATGCTTACAGTGGCAAGTAACTTATAGACCTGTCTAGTAGTGTAGTACAATATATATGCACATGTATACAACTGAAATGGAGACATTTACAAGTAAAACACATTTTAAATGTCCTAATGGTAATTATAGACAAAGCCAACCACTTTAACCCCTTAAGGACGGAGCCAATTGTACAAGTTGTGATCAAAACAAAACGTATTCCCTGAAGGGTATTATGGAACACTGCCTGCAGATATGGACTCTGTGGATTGACTACCTGTCCCGACGACCGACTTAGAAAACCTAAACCATTGTGGCACTTTGGTGGAACGACTGAGATGGAACTAACTTCAAGCCCACTGGTGAGACAGGTTGGCATGTTACATTACATTGTGCTTCTTCGGGCCCGGTGATGGTGCTTTAAAGCCCATTATAATGGGGACGGCATAGAACGCCCAAACAGTGTTAACAGGTTAATATGTATATGTTTTTCTTAGAAAAGTCATAAATTTGCTGGAACAAACTGCCAATTCGAGAATGAATTGGATATGAATATACTGCTTAAAGATTGACATCTTAACAGGTTTTTCTGTCCGTGGAAGGTGGTTATATAGAATGTTTAGGATTATACACAAAGCTTAGTATTATCTGCATGTATAAAGCCTGATTTAAATTAATCCACCTTTAATATCCCTTGTTAGATAACATTTTGCCCAGGGAAGAAGTAATTTGACTACATTGCAGCACATGACGAACCCCAATAAAAAGGAATGCATTTAAAATAATAATCCCAAATTAGGTCATGGACAAGAAATTAAGAAGTCATTTATCACCATTTAAAAATTCTAATAGCTTTAATGAAGTCAGTCTGGTTTATAAATATCAATCATTTGTTTGCATATATTTTTTGTTATTTACAACTACAATGCAGGACTTGTACAATACTCACCAGAGGATGACAAGATGCGAAGGTGTCGCTTTTAATAACACTGCACTGTCTCTGTGACCATGCTTTTCTGTATAAATTGGAAGAGCAAGGATCTCCAATTGCCACAGAATCTAAGCAGCTCGGGGAAAGTTTCCAGCTGTTGCCAAATTCAATAACATCTCCAACCACTGAGAAACTTCTGGTGGTAAAATCGTTGACTGAATTACCATCATAGTTACCGCAAAGCCCACATACTTTACCCTATTAAAAAAAGATGTAACTCATTAAATCACCAAAACAATGTTAATCAAAGGTCAAAACAATAATGTGTTCTTAACAATATTTTTAATATAAGCTTATTGTAGTAGTTTTGGGGTAAACTGAATAAGGATGACATATCTCTCCATCCTATCCAACCACATCCTACGGTTAATCTGAAACCATTATCAGGAGGTTTGCTAAAAACTAAGAATCTTAATGTGCCACTTTCACTATTTTGGGGTATTTTGAAGTTGTTTAAAAAACTTAGGGACAGCTTAAGAGCCTTGCCTGTTGCCTGCTGCTCAACTAATGTATAAGTGTACTTTGCATAATAAATACTATATCCTTGAAAATTCTGTGTTCCTAAAAAAAATGCATGCTGGGCTATTCACTAAAGAGAGAATACAAATTGAATTTAAAATTTAACAGTTGTGGAAATGGAAAAATACTCCTGTAATTCTTTGGCCTTAAACTTTAAATTCACTTTAAATTCTTGCTTTAGTGAAAAAAAATCTCTTCAGAATCAGATAAAATAACCTCTTTAGGCAAAAAAAATCGAATTTTGTATCTATAATGTTTTAATAAATATATTTTAATATAGGAGCCTGCCTGTGGCATGTCTTTTTTTTACATTGTTTACTAAGGATTGTTGAAGGTCTTTGTTCTTTGAAACAGCAACAGATAGTTGGGTCTAAAAGGCTATTTTGGACATTTATTATCCTGCTATTATTTTTATTGTTTTTTAAACATTGTAAAATTTACATTTATTATAAATGTTTTATAAAAATATTTTCAATAGTTGGTGTATTTGTCCTTTGATATTTGAGTTACAATACCTTCTAGTACACACAAGTATATATTTTCTAAGTAATGTAAAGTGAATCTCAGAAAAGCCAATTACGCTACATACATAATTTCAATTTTGCTTTTATAGCATATTTTTATTTATTAACTTTTTGGCACGGTCTAGGCAAGTACTTGTAGTTACTGCTAATGGTTTCTTTTTTATTTTGTGTGCTTTAAATTTTATTGCTTCACCTTAGTCTTGACCAATGTATACCACTCTGTGAGCTGTATTTACGTTGTATGTGTTAGTTATGCTAATAGCACTAATAAATTATCTTTAGAAGAGAACATTTCCACTTTGAATTCCCGTTTCAACTTACAGTTTCCATCATACAGATTTGCAAATTTAAATTTAATATCTACCCCACTTTTCATTTTTTCTGTTTAAGTATATCAGTTTGTAAGCAAATTAAAAACATTTTGGAGGTTGAAGCAGCATTGTTTACTTCTTTCTAATATGGATGTTACGGGATAAACTGTACATTCTATTCAATAATATACACTTGTAATAGCACTGCCTACTTTTGAATTATGACAAATACACTCATTATATATGACTGATATCACTAATTCAACAGTAAGTATGTATGCTATAGAGTTCCCTATAAAGTTTAGAAAATATTTCTTAAACGGAATGGCCAAAGCATCATTAAACACAAACCTAAATATGCCTATAACCAGGTACTGCTGCTACACAAGATTATTCTGTATAATCCCCAGTGTCCCCATCCTGTCTCTGCCCTTGTTCAAAGCACATTTTTACTTTGAAATGAGTGTCTTGCAATGTTAGAGAAAGAGTAATTATTACATACAGTTAATATGTCTGCGCCACCGAAGTCAGATGTTTAATTGCACGTAAATCATCACCCAAACCATATATAAGGAAATCTTGAGCTCCAGATTTGAGCAGACCCATAAATTGTTACTTGTTAAATTATAAACACAGGCTTAATGAATTTACCTTGAAATTGGACTCCAGCTTAATATATATGCTAGTTTTCTGATCCCACGTCAAAACCAACCCATTCACTGCTTCAATAACCATATATATTCCCATTTGGTGCACTTTGTATGGAACATTTTGACCATCATTTCTTTTTACAACTTGCAAATTATCCTCAGCAAGTATCAGTTCAGTGTTCTGCAAATGTAATAAACACAAAAAATTATATAGCATCTGACATCTAATTTTCAGTTTTAGTTGTTATGAACCATTTCCTTTCTATGTAATTTGTTCACATTTGAAACTCACTCCAAGATAGACCTTGATGGATTTAGAGCATGTAGTTCCTGTAGTACCACAAGGGATATTCTCTGTGATGATGCGGAAAGAACCTCCAGCACTATCACCACAGTAATCCTGTGAAGAAAAATTATGATGTTATTTAACTTTCAGTGTACAACATAATGATATAAAAAGAATTATCCACAATTGCAGAACCCAATGCTACAGATTTTATTTGTAAAGATCAGCTGAGTTCAATTTAGAAACTCTTCTATACATGGAGCAATGAGATTAGAAACAAGCATCATGCTACTGCTAATGTCCCAGAATTACTATTTTAAAATTACCCAATAAGTCCAATTTCATGAGTACAATTACTGCTGCTACATAATCACCTTATAATGTATAGGCCTGTGTTCTGTACACTAACATTTTTGATTATTAACAAATTATTTATAAAGTCTAACTCTGAAATATAACCATTATTATGTTAATTGTTCTCTTAACATGCCTTATATGCCAAAAGTAGAAAAATTTATTTACTTGAGCCAATGTGTATTCACAGTCTCCATTGAAACTGTATCTTTTGCTGTCAAAGGTAACATAGTGTCCATCTCCGTACACAGAGCATGTTGACATGCATGATTCAGTGGTGCAGTCCCAATTTCTGTTCCGACATACACTGTGACAAGCAAAATCATTTAGAAAATTCCACATTCAGCATGGAGAACTGGCACATATCAAGTAAGCAAGTGAAGTTGTACTTCAATAATTCATCAATGTCTAAAGTCTTGTTTTAGATGTATGGGGAACTCACCAAGTATTGCATTTCATATTGATCTTAGCACCTGGCAGGTAGACTTCATTGTTGTGTAGACATGGGCATTGATCCTCTGTGACACAGCCTCCTTTTCCATCAGTGATATATCCTACAGGGCACAAGCAGCCGGACACACACTGTGTACTGTACTGCATAGGGGAATACATAAAGAAAATATTACACCTACAAAACCAACAACAACATGTCTTCTCATATTCCAGGCCGTTTGTGAGTTACCTCCATGAACATTAAATAAAAACATAATATGTAAGATTTAAAATAAAACTCCAAGCACTGTAACCACTACAGCTCACTGAATTGATTATGATGCCAGAAGTGCCTGCCATTGTAAACTTTTTAAAACTTTTTATCTAGGGTCGGCAGAGCACTACTTCAGCCTAAAAAATATCAAAATATAGGACACTTCCAGCAGCAAAACAACTGATGCCTCTTGTATGGGTTATTGGGCATGGAGGAACCCTTTCATTGTCACCTTTCTATTAGAAAAGTCACCTCAGTAATAAGCCTAAATGATCACACAAACACATTATACTCCTAACTAAGTAATAGTATGTGTGTGTCCATTAGACAGTGCATCCCATACATGTCATCATCTCCTGTACGTAGCTCCTCTGTTGCATTGTATGAAGCGCCATTGCCATTGACATGTCCCTCTGTTTCTATTAGCTTGGGTACTATTTTTAATTTTTACTCTGTATGAATGACACTGCTAGTGTTAACATATATCATAACATTACATAATCCCTGCTGGCAAACGGTTAATGGAATAAGCTCTGCCCTCACATTGAATAAAATGGGATGAACATTTTTAAAGCTACATCCTGATCTGGGCAGATTGCATAAAGTGAGAGGACTGCACACATTTTATCCCTTTAAGTTGCCTATTTATGAAGAATTGTGGATAGCAGGCTGATATGTAAGAAGTTGATAAAAAAAAATAGATTTGGATGTTTTCAGATTACTTACACAATTCATATCCAGGGTTTGACAGCTCTTCTGGCATTCAGATCCCCTTGTGCCAGCAGTCTTGTTGGTGCAATCAAAATAGAACATGGGGGCGCTACATGCTGAAGCATAAGATTCAAGAATTTATTAATAGAACAATACCATATTTACAAACATAAACATCTGCAAAGATTTTTTAAGTTGTAGAAAATATTAGAATATCATTTCAGAAGTGAAAGCAACTTGGTTATTATGATATTTTTCAAAATAAAAAAACGAAATAATTGTTTTACATAAATCCAAAAAGGCTATGCAAGTTTTCTGTTTCCAAGGTTCCACAATGTTCAAAAATGGCATAATATTCACTACAGGATCTTTTGGATTTAGAATTTCAGCTTGCTATCCAAAGGAATCTTCTACTCTAGATGTTAAAAGAATCAAGATGAGGACTGATTTGTCCATTCTGTACATGCTGTAACATAAATGTAGATAAATATTCTCTAAACAACTTGCAACACCCATGACATCTCAAAGCTATCAACCTAGACCAAATAACGAGAGCGAGAAAAGGTCAGAGTGCAAAATAAAACCATCAGGGTTATTTACTAAAGTGAGAATTGTTGGGAATTCAAAATTAATTGAAAGTGAATTTCAAATATAAGGTTAACGTAACTGAACTGGAAGCATAGCGGATATAGATAATTTTTCCAGTTCAGCTTTTGTGACCTTAAACTTGAGATTCACTTTGAATTCCCCAAATTTCTCACTTTAGTGAATAACCCTGAAGGTGTCCCCCGCCTCAGATCAGAATAAGATGGGACGTAATTTCACAACATATAAGAGAGCTAAGTAAGGGTGCCAGGGCAGATTTTGTAAAATATATACATAAATAAATAAATAACATATTATCTTACAGGTAACTGGAGGTTTTTCTCCTATACAGTCCAGTTTTCCTTTGGTACAAGTGCTGTAGTACAAAAAAAGTAAAGTTAAATAATAGGAGGTTTTGCGATAAAATGTTTATATATAGAATAAAAGGTATGGATATTTCTCGTATATTAAAAGAAATTAAATTATGATGTAAAGCTACACACAGGGTTATTGTGTGAACTGTCAGGTATTCAATGTGAATTCAAAACTTGAGGTCTCCATAGCCAAACTGAAAAATAAATGCTCAAATTACCAATGTTTTCAGTTTGGATATTTTGGCATAGCATTTTAAATTCATTTTGAATCTGAGACAAGTCACAGTTTTCTAACTTACCATGTAAAACTGAAAAAAATATTATACTGGATTCAGAGAGTTAAATAATAATATAAGTAAATTATCAATATTTATTTTTCTATAAATAAATTGGACCTCAGTTAGTTACTAATTTTGTTCTAGTGAGTTTTGTTGTATTTCCTGTAATCTGTACATAAAATAAAACATACATACCACAAAGCCCCATTGTCATGGACCACTTCGCCTGGAGGTACTGCTGTGCCCTTATAATAACAAGGACAGGAAGTAGGGAGAACGCATACACCGGAGTCATCTAGATAGGTTCCATTCTGACATATGCAGCCATCAACAGGTACAAATGAGATGTCGCAAGTGATGTCATGTTCACTGAGGGAACGGCAGGTGGACTGACAGCTTCTAACATGATAGCTGTATATCAAAGTTTTGGGGCAGGTGGAGGTATAGGTATCTGAAGTATAAAGAACATTTCACATTGCAAGAGAATATAGAGAATACATTATTATATTCTAATTATTGCACTGCTATATTAGCAAGTTTTATTAAGCTGTCTACAGATATTACACATACTTTAAAGCTGGGCTATCTGCATATTAAACCACCCTAGAAATCTATGCGTGTCATTATATTAGTGAAATCATTAGCTTTCGTACTTACTGCAGATATTTTTTCTCCATCCCTTGAGAACAATTCCTGCTGAAGAGCATGCATGGGCGTATGACGAAAGTGCAGCACACATGCAGTCCTCTGTGTTTTCACAATTGCATGTGTCAAACATACAGTTCTGTAAGAATCAAAACACTTTATAAAACAAATCCATGCTAAATAACAATGATAAGTTGTGATTAAATAATTCTGGGCATCTGTATTTGAAAATAACTATTTAAAATTACATTCTGAGTATAACTTACCGATTGATAAGTGGTTGGATTTACTTTCAGATGACAGGCTGCGAATGGTCCATTAGGGTCTGTGATCAGAGCGCACCAGTGTTCTGCATATTGCTCTATGTAAAACAGTCAAACATGGTTTAGAGAACAATTTGGTCAAAACAAGTTCTACAAAGAAACATATCAAATACCTTCTCTGTCCTTCAAGCTGGCTTTCTACATAAAGTGACACTCAAGGCATGAGTTAAACCATTCTTTTGTAGTGCATTATAAATTATTGTATTATTATTGTATAACACATTATATTACATTCAAAGTTCCTGCATGTACAATTTGCTATAAACCACCAGTTTATATAGCCTCAGCATTGAGCTCTCACCAAAGTAAAATGTGTCACATCATTTTCAGTTGGAGTGCTGTGCATATCCCATATATTATAGCGCGTTTTATGTTGTTGTGTGATGTGTGCTGTGTGAACCACAGTCCTTTAAAGACACTATCTGAAGTTAAATGCAATCATTCTAAATTCAAATTGCACGTCAATATTCTTTGCATGAGAGATAAACTACTTGATTTGCTAACTGGGATGTACCACACACTTAGAAGTCAATACACCTTTTTTCTTACAACCTACTCTTTGTACCCTTAATGTTTTTACAAAGAAGAACTATATTTTCTATTCCATATGTGCATTTAAATTATGTGCATATTTTTTCTCACATTCTTATACTTTTGTTTATAGTACATTAATTATTAGCAATGAATACAAGATAATAAATCACCAAAACAGTGAACATGCAACAAATTTAGAAAATCTGTTGGAAAGTTGGAGTTATAAAAAGAGTCTAGAAGCTTCACACCAAAATCGAAATTAACAGTGCCAAACCATCTTCATCCAACCAAACAACTGTATGCAGTGTTACTTATTTGAGGCATTATATGCATGTAAAGTGTAACAGCTTAATGCTCTGTATGCGAAGCTGGCATACTGGTCAGTCACCCAGCAGATTCAGAGTGTTGCTGAAGTCAACTGGCATGCCAGTACATAATACATATTACAAATTAATTGCAGAATCACGTTAGAGCTGATGACGTCTAATCTGCTATCATAATCAATATAAAATCTCTACCTGATATTGTTAATGTAATACCTGATGGTGTAGTAAAGTAGATGATTATCTGGCACGATAATGATCTTTAAAATCTTTAAGACCAGATAAGTAAGGAGTATCACACTAACATGTGTTTTGCCCAAGCATGTTACCACACTCTCCAACATAAGCATCTTCTGATGTGTTTAGATTGGGCAAAAGGTAACGCCCAGAGTGGGGATTTGTCCACTGAAGAGTTAGAAGGTTTGGGCTGTCTGCCAATCAGCCAGGATGGCCCACCAAGGGTGGATTATGCAAAGAGCAATGTTTTAGCAATCTCTGTAGGGTCCTAGTGGTCTTTGCATAGTTTTAGAGAGATAGTTCCCTGGTATCCCGAAAAGCAGAACACAGGGAACAAAGTTGGGATGGCAGGACAGGAACTGAAAAACGTGACTGTCCCACCAAATTTGTGATGGTTGGGAGGCCTGTGATACTACAGGAGTTAAGCATCGTGTCTAATTCCTGTGATGAAATAATGTAATTTTCCTTTTTTTCAGACTTGCACCAGCCCTTCGTGCATTAAGTACACAGTCTTTGGGCATGGTACACTGTCATAATCAAAGTTTCTCTTTTCTTTTTTTTTCTTTCTCTTTTCTTTTCCCTTCCTTTTTCTTATTTTTTTATTTTTTACCTTATGCTGTTATCCCCCACCTGTCCCATCCCCTCCCGAACGAATCCCTCCTTGTCAAACTTCTTGTCCTTGTTTTTTTTTGTTTGTTTTTTGTAAGTTAATATGCATGACATACCATTTTCAATGCTAAGTGAACATGGGTTTTCAAAACTGTTCTTGACATTAGGGCAGTCAGCTTGGGTCTTCCATGTGTTGGCAAAAGAGGATCCTGTCCCTTCAACCACTCCACTGAGCACTGTGAAGTCATCAGCTTGAATTTTGTTGAAGTTGCCACAGAGTCCTGTTAGACAAAATATATTGTGTTACGGTCTTTGATAAGAGTTTCTTTTAAGGTTCTAGCAAACTGAAACCATGAGCAACTTAACTATTCAATTAAGTATGCATGTGTACAATACTCTATCACTAAGCATTAATATAAATGGATGGATGGATGGAGCGAGAGAGATATAGAAAGAGTTAGGTAATATACGCTCTCATAACAATGCCTCAGTTTGAATATTAGCAACCATGTCTCCTTAGGCTTACAATCTGTTTCTGTTCAGTCTCTCTCTGCTCTCAATCATATCATAGCTGTGTGTCAATAAGTTTACACTGTGAGCTGCTGTCCATACAAATGCAATATAGTTAGAGGGGTGGGTTATTATTCAGTTTAGTTTTGCCTCAGTACAAAGGATGACTGCTTGTCTGTAATGTTCATATTGTAACTACACGTGTATTGTAGTTTATTAAGCAAGCTATGTGAAATCTCCCAAAAACATTTTTAATTAGGGATACAAATATTATCACATGCCTGTTGTACTGTACTTTTTTCTCACTTTTATATATGGTAGTTGTATATTTCAGTTGAATATATGCAGATGCTCTTTATTATTGGTAGTCGAGAAACAAGTTATTCATTGATTAATTACTAATTAATTAATAATTAATTAATTCCCATTTTTGGCCTAACTACCCCTGTCCCTCTTTACTATTATAGTGTCCCTCTTTTTTAAGAGCTCCATATTTTTGGTGTGTCTTAGTGTATAAAAAAAGCTCCACAGAAATAATACTCACTGTAATGTGTCTTTAAATTACAACAAAAGTGTTTACAAATCAGTCTAATAATGTTTTAAATTGCATTTTAGTGTTATACATTGTTATTAGTAAATCACCTTCATTTCTTAGAAAAGCCCTGCCCCTAGTCACACCCAAATTAAAGAGTCCATACTTGTGCATTTGAATTGAAATGAGTTAAGCTTAATGTTATCACATTTTTTTCTGTGGGGTTTAGATATTATAGCTATATATATATATATATATATATATATATATATATATATATATATATACATATACATATATAGTCAATACAATGTCAAACACATATTTGCACACGAGTCAAGCCATAAGACTTGCTTTTCACACAGAAATCAGATATTCGCAGTGATGTTACCACTGCAAAGGATTCTGGGTGGGCATATGCAAATGGCTAATTCAAAGCAAATTTCAAAATGTCTGCCAAAATAGTTGAATTAGAGAATGTCTTCAACTGAATTTTATTTTAAGTTTGGCTAGTTTAGCCTTAAATTTGAAATTCATTTTGAATTTACTTTGAATTCTTGGCAATTCTTATTTTAGTGAAACCCTGGTGTTTTCTTATTAACCTGAAAAAAAACAACTATTTGCAAATGTCTTACCGCAGAGTTTACTTGAATAGGATGGGTCAACACTGAGATACACTTGCATCATAGGAACAAGTTGAACTTGAATCTGGACTCCAATTGCAGTCTGCACGATTATGAAAAAGGTGGAAGGCTTGAAGATTGTAACACTTGCTGTAGAACAAAAAATTATTTTGCATAGTTGATTATTATTTTAAGTGAATTTCAACTTCTCATAGTCTGAATTTGTTACAATTTTTGTTCAATTTCTAGTCTCCAAAACCACACATTTTATTGAAATTAATGTTTCTTATTTATTAACTGTAATGAATGCCATCAGGCCTTGATTATAGGAACACTATGAGGTCAGGAACACAACCATGTATTCCTGATCCTATAGTGCAAAAGCCACCATTTAGGTGGCTTGCTCCCCCCTTAGTCCCTTAAAAGCAATTAAAATTCATCTTATTTCCAGCGCCGTTCACCCATTGGTGACATAATCAGAATAGCTGATTTTTAGCCAATCAAATGTTTTCCCATGGGGAAAGCATTAGATTGGATAAAATCGGCAAGGGGACGGGGCCAAACACCATTTTGGCCAACCAGCACCTCCTCATAGAGATGCATTGAATCAATGCATCTCTATGAGGAAAATTCAGCGTCCCCATGGACAGTATGGAGATGCTGAATGCCAGTGCTGCCTACTGTGCAGCACTGGGCCAGGGAGCAGCTCCAGTGGTCATATGAGGAGTGGCCACTTAGAGGTTTCGCTATGAGCAATGTAAACACTGCCTTTTTTCTGAAAAGGCAGTGTTTGCATGAAAATTCCTGCATATAATGAATATACTCACCAGAACAACTACATTAAGCTGCAGTTGTTCTGGTGACTATAGTGTCCCTTTAAGAATCAACTAAAATTCTACATAAGAAGAAAAGTTGGTTGTCTTTTCTGCTACAGATGAACAATATCAAGCTAAAAGGCAATGGTATTTTATTTACTTAAAGTAAGTCTTAAGGACCCAAGGAGATGTATGAAAAGAAATAGCAGCATACCTGTTGACACTGGAAGTTGTGTAAAGACGGAGTTCACATAAACGCTTCCACAAGGTTTAATATAAATTAGCTGTTGGGAAAGCACAGAAGGAAATTGTAATTTAAAGAGCAAACACAAAATAGCAATTCAAAAAATATATTTGATTCTACAAAACTTACCTCATTTCCACCATCTAAAATAAGGGTGATACTTTTCAAGCAAGTCTCTGTATTAGTCAGACCACACTGAAGAAGTTCTCCTAGGATACTAAAGGTGGGCCCGTTACACGTCTAAATTAAAGAAATGAAGCAAAATTAATGATGCTGTAGGTTTCACATGCGTCCTGAGGTACAGAAATTATTACTTAGGTCAATGTTATTTATCTTGTCAATCTTGGAAGGTTGATAGGCAAAACTTACCTTGCCAGAAATTGATAATTTGACACAGAAGCACTATGCTAGGGTACTTCCCATTAAACTATCTCATTGAATTATGTAGTTGCTATGTTTCAGATTACATTTTTTTTACTATGTACAAGGACACCGTAATTTTTATATCTGCTTACCTTAGCCAAGACATAACTGCAGTCTCCGTGAAATGTGTATTGCGTGGCATCAAAAGAGGTAATATGAGAGCCTCCCACAACAGAGCAGGATCCTAAGCAAGCATCTTCGGCACATTTCCACTTGCCATCAGCACAGGTGCTGAAAGGTATAATTATAAATAATATATATATTATATATATATATATATATATATATATATATATATATATATATATATATAATACAATGCTAAACAAAAATCTGCACACCAGTCAAGCCATAAGACTTGCTTTTCCCACAGAAATCCCAAATCAGCAGTGATGTTACAACCGCAAAGGATTCTGGGTGGGCATATGCAAATTAGTTTAACAAAGAATCACATTTTTGCCTCATTCCATTTTAAACATGGATTCCTTTTAACTTGTGTTTGCAGTATACAACTGCTTGGAACACAATTTAGGATAAGATGCAAAACCAGTGAACCACTCATGGACAGCTGTTTCGTTGTTAATGCAACTCTTCAGCATGAGGTTGGTTACTGGTTTGCTTATGGAGGCTTGGTAGTGCTTGGGAAGCAAAATCCAAATAGATTATGGTGGGGAAAAATTGTGATTGAAAACCCCTTCCACCTGAAGTATGTGGATAGTTAATACAATGCTAAACAAAAATCTGCACACCAGTCAAGCCATAAGACTTGCTTTTCCCACAGAAATCCCAAATCAGCAGTGATGTTACAACCGCAAAGGATTCTGGGTGGGCATATGCAAATTAGTTTAACAAAGAATCACATTTTTGCCTCATTCCATTTTAAACATGGATTCCTTTTAATTTGTGTTTGCAGTATACAACTGCTTGGAACACAATTTAGGATAAGATGCAAAACCAGTGAACCACTCATGGACAGCTGTTTCGTTGTTAATGCAACTCTTCAGCATGAGGTTGGTTACTGGTTTGCTTATGGAGGCTTGGTAGTGCTTGGAAGCAAGCAAAATATCCAAATCCTTTGCGGTTGTAACATCACTGCTGATTTGGGATTTCTGTGGGAAAAGCAAGTCTTATGGCTTGACTGGTGTGCAGATTTTTGTTTAGCATTGTATTAACTATCCACATACTTCAGGTGGAAGGGGTTTTCAATCACAATTTTTCCCCACCATAATCTATTTGGATTTTGCTATATATATATATATATATATATATATATATATAATGTTCCTTTTTATCCCTGCACACACTCTTTCAAGTTATTCAAATGCCGGGTGCATTCCAGCCAAAGTCAAATATCATAGAAAATAGTAAATGAAGGCTTGCACTCACGGTCTTTTTCTTGTATAAAAGTTTTCTTTCTTTATTCCATATCTCTTAAAACATAATTTCTGTTAGAATCAACGTTTCAGCTATCGTCCGTTGCTTTCATCAGGATCAGTTCAGCAAAAAAAGTTTTTTGCTGAACTGATCCTGATGAAAGCCATGGACGATGGCTGAAACGTTGATTCTAACAGAAATTATGTTTTAAGAGATATGGAATAAAGAAAGAAAACTTTTATACAAGAAAAAGACCGTGAGTGCAAGCCTTCATTTACTATTTTCTATATATATATATGCCAAAGTACCAGATTATTGCAGTATGCAATGATACCTTTTTTATTGGACTAACATTACATATATAATATTAATTTCTTCATATTTGTAACTGTTTAGATTGTTGATAGTGAAAGATAATATTGGAATTAATTTTAGGTTTTCTCACTTAAAAGAACAGACACGCTCAACATATCTATAGGGACAATAAACTAGAAGAAAGTAGCTGCAATGATCAACACATAATATGAGTAGAATATGCATTGAATATGTGTTCTCTGAACAACTAGGTTCTTCTGGGAATTGTCCCAAATTTGTGTTAAATGGAGAAGAGAGCGGAGATCACAGCTGTTGTTGTTGTTTAACTTGGCATAACCTTAAAGGTAACACTTATGATCTAGTGGGTAATTGCTCTGATAGATTTTCTAATATATTTAAAGCTATATGTAACTCCATATTTATTTATACAGTGAACTGATCTATTTCTACATAGTTTTTTATAAATTGGTGGATAAATATTGTATGTCTATTTTTGTATGAACAAAGAGTTATTATGATAAATTAAGTGGGCTAGGGTGTTTGTTTATATATTCTAATGTGGACCTGTTGAGGGTATAGGTATATATAATTTAGCACCCTATATCCATGGCATTTGGTGGTTAATAAAAAAGAAATGTACTCCTGACATGATTTATTTAAATTTCACGTTTGATATGATGTCTGTGATGTCCATGACGACAAATAAAGCAAAATAAAAACAAAGTATGAATAAAAGATTATAAAGTCATAAAAGGAATGAATGTGATCGAATACAGACAGATAGATAGATAGATCGATAGATCGATAGATCGATAGATCGTTTCTTTAATTCCTTTAGATGATACAGGTTTAATTTACATATTTTAGAGAAAACTTTCAAGTAACATTATTTTTTAAACTGTGTCATAAGGTCAGATGTATAGAAAAAGTGAGTTTACCAAGATTGACATTTCTCAGAAAACCCAGTGCCTGCTGCATAGACATTTCCATTATAGGAACAGGAGCACTGCTGTCTTGGGATACAACCTGCGTTGTTGATGTCATCATACACGGTTCCTATCACATGAAAAGAGTTAAAACATGTCATGCAAATGTTAAAATAATGCAATGAATCAAATACATAAACATTCCCAACTGCATAGCTTGAACCCATTTCCTATTTATACCTTCATAGACAAAGTTTTTACCTTCTGGACAAAAGCATCCATCAATACAGTGGCTGTCACAGACTGATGAGTGTTCGAGGTTGGTGCAAGTGTTTGGACATGGGTTTCCACATTCCTTGTACTGTAGATTCTGGTTACATGTCAATGCTGTAATATTAAAAGGAATCTGGTATAATTGATGAGATGTGCAATAGGGTGGTAATCATTTCAAAGTAGTTAAAATTAAACTAAAAAAATACAAATAAAATAAGTGTATTGATGTGCTGAAGAACATGCACTGCTTAGCCATCTGTTAACCTCTAGTCAAAAGTAAGGAGCTAAATTGCTGAATATGTGAAAAAAAGGAGACTTACGGCACAGGCTGTCTCTCCTCCAATTTCCAGGTACACCTCCGGCATGGGCGCACTGTCTGGAATACTCAGTGAAAGTGTTGCATAGGCAGAAACCAGTTGCATTTTTTGCACAACGACATAGATCTTGCACACAGGCATTAATGTATTGCATAGGATCTACAAGCTTGTTGCAGGATAAGAAAGCTGAGCTGGTCAAGGTGACTTCACATATTCTACTCTGTGAAGGAATTGATATCAAATTCTCACAATTAAAATAAAATCTTGATTAATATCCCAAATAAAAGTCAATTTGTTGCAGAGCATGTTGTGTCACAATAGCTGTCAAAAACCTATTGGCCTCACAAGACTGTACATAGTCTGGCTTTGTAGCCTTAAGAGTAGATATATGCTCATATCACAATATCGTACAACCCACAATATAGAACCATGATGACTTTATGTAAGTCACACATCGAATAATTCCATCATAAAGACGAAGGTGTACCAACTATGACTCTTTGGATTGGTCCTTTGAACTTTATTATAAATGCTTATTTTTAACTTTTGTTTATAAATGTTTTTAAAAGTGTGAGTGTCCTTTGTTTTTATACAAATAGTCAGTGTTTTAAACAGAATTACAATATATGCACTTTTTGTTGTTATATCTGTCTGGTTGTTACACACGCCCACCATCAGCGGGGTACAGGCAGTAAACTTGTAAAGGGCCCGGTCCAACTCAGGGATGTGCAGTAGGCTCTGTAGTACTTAGTAGTCCATTTGGTCAGATATATATTTCTTCTTTCCTGGACTGCAGAGCCTGCTTAGCTCCCACACAGGCAGCAGCACTGGAGGATGTGATATCATAGATATCACTTCCTCCTAGCATTACCATAAAGCTGCTCTAACTGGCAGTTGAGCATCAGACACATGCAGTGTGTGGAGAGGGCAGGGATGTGGCATATTATATCATCTCCCTCCATCTCTCACACTGTGCTGCCAAGCAAGCTTCAATTCATGGCCTCCATGTTAGGATTGTCTGATGAGAGTAAAGCATAGGGGCAGGGTAAAATTATGTTTTTTTACTGTGTAGGGAAGAGGTTGGGGATTTGGACTTGTAAGTGTCTGACTGTGTGTGTCTCTTGCTGTATGTCAGTTTGACAGTGTATGCGTATCTATGTGCATATGTATCTTTTGTGTATGAGTGCGTAGGTCTGGTTGTGTGTATTTGACATTGGATGTGTTCTCAACTGTGTGTCTTTTTGACCTTGGATGTGTGTGTATCTAACAATGTGTGTGGATGTGAATATCTGACTGTGTGTCTGTTTGACAAAGTGTATATGAGTCTCTGGCTATCTGTGTGTGACTGACAATGTATTACAGCGTGTTTGTGTGTGCATGTCCAACTGTGTGTCTGTTTGGTGCTGTGTGAGTCTGTGTGTGTGGCATATGTATCTGACAGCAGAGATTTTAATGTTGTGACTGATAAGTATAGATAGATAGATACATATATATATATACAACAATATATATAACAATAAACATACAACTAACCATACAATTTAAGTAAGGGAATTTCTATATTCAAAGATGGATTTGCATTGGTCTCCTGGTTCTTACAGAAGTAAAACATTTCATGCAGTCAATTATATATAACCCTTAAGCTAGAACATGATAATTTCCCCTATACTACAACAAAGATGGTACTCAACACTATAACATCAGCATGTAATGCTATACATTTCTTCAAGAGGTTAGTACAAGCAGTGTGTTTGCATTTACACAAGGTCACTTTTTATATTCCAGAGCAATCTTGTATTTTAACTGATTTTAAATGACCTTGAGCATGATATAACTTCTTTAGAAAAGGGATTTGGAATAATTGGGGAGCAACTAGGCAAATGAGATTCAGTGGCAAATTAGATTCAATACAGATAAATGCAAAGTCATTCAATTTGGAATAAGGAATCCACAAGCTACGTATACGTTAAATGGGTTTCAGTTAGAGATAACATTAAATGTTGGGAATAATTATAGATAACAAACTAGACAACAGTATGCAATTCTGCTCTATAAAAGCTATAAACTGTTTTTATGTAAAAAAAAAAAGTACTATTATTACTAAAGACCAAAATATAATTGTGCCTCTTTATTATTTTTTTAACGTTTCACCCCACCTTGAATATGTGGTGCAATACCGTGCACCAGTTTTAAAGAAGGGTATTGCAAAACTAGAAAAAATGCAGAGACAAGTTACAAAATAATTAAGGATAATTAAAAACCTTAGTTATGAAGAAAGTCTAGACAAACTAAATTTGGTTTCTTTAGAAAAAGGTGCCTCAGAGGTAGCACTATGGTATGATAGCACTATGTAAATATATACCTGGTCAATACAAGCCACTATGTGCTAACATGTTCATTAGCAGGAATATCAAAAAGACAATAAGTCACCCATTGAGACTGGAAGCAAGGAGTTTTCAGAGGAAAGGGTTCTTTACAGTAAGAACAATGAAGATGTGGAATTTACTACCTCAAAGGTTGTCTTATCAGAAATTACTGATATTTAAAAAAAGGCGGGGATGCTTTTTTTTTTCAAAAACAGAATATTCAATGTATACTTAGTATGTATGTGAACAGGCTATTGATCCAGTGAGGAATTTGATTGCATGAAGTCAAGAAGGAGGATTTTTTTCCCATTTTTATGGAATTATTTGAAATGGCTACAATTGTTTAGTTTTGTTGTTATCGTTGCCTTCTTTTGGATCAACAGCATAACATAATGGGTTTCAAGGTTAAACTTGATGGATTTTTGTTTTTTCAACCTAGACAACTATCTAACTATGCCAATTATGTAACTGTAACATATTTATATAAAGATTATACAATATTACAACTGAGGAATAGGCCATTGAGATAACTTATATAATTGAGAATGGACAATGGAGATAAAGCTATGTCCCCAACACAGACTTTGTATATTTTATCAATATAATTTACTGCTTACAAGATCTGTGCAGCCATCCTTAACAGTCATGGTCAGATCTAGGCATGTTTCTGTTGGACCATTGTACTTCTGCAAGTTTCCATACTGGATACCAGTGAGTTGTACATCTAGAAGAAGGAATGTGCCTTTAGTGCAAATTATGACTTGTAAAAATTCCCCCCAAAAATATTAAATTGCTGTCTTACTGTTTGAAATGAATTCATTGTAAATTGGAATCCCATTGAAATCTCCACAAAGACCACATGTTTGATTGGCAAATTTAGTATCCAGTTCCAACTAAATAGAAATAGAAATAATACAATGGATAATGTTGAATGATTTTTTATAGAAACAGTATCTATAACATACTGATTAATTCAAATGTATTTTAAGATTGTTTAACAAATGCACACATATTAAATCAACTAACCAGATCTGTCTAATAAAATTTCTAAATTAAACTTTGGTTTATCTAATAATAATCTATTTGTCTTGAAATATTTATATATATGGTGATGAGTCTTTCTACAATAGAACATTTCAAATCATGTATATATGTTTCATACACCATTGTGATGCATGATAAAATTATACAGTAAAAATATACAGTCAGGCATGTTGTGTTTTTTTTATCCTACAATAAAATGGTGTTTGTGGTAATATTAATAAAATTAAAAAAATCTAATTCTTGTATTGTTTTGCTTGAGAGGATTACTAATTTGTGCTGTTTTTATATTATATATTGAAAAGTTGGAACTATGTTATATTGTTACATTTTGTGAGTTTTTCATCCTAAATACAAAATATCAACAGGCTTCCCCTCCTGTTGATTTTGACCAAATATCAAGATTAACCCCCTTAAGGACACATGGCATGTGTGACATGTCATGACTCCCTTTTATTCCAGAAGTTTGGTCCTTAAGGGGTTAACCAACACTCAAATGACACAGTTTTTGTTGTGAGAAAAGAAAAGGCACAATTATGACATTATGGTCATGGCCATAAATGCAAGTACTGTAACATATGAGACATTTGGCCTCACTACAGCTTAAACGTGTCATATCTAGTGCATGGACAAGAAAAAGTAGGCAGAAGCGATCAGAGAGAATGAGAAAAAAAATGGAAATTAAGGAGAAAGAAAAAGGGGCAATCAAGAAAAAAAATGCATAACAGTAAAGCATTGGAAAAAAAAGTGGTGGATAACAGAAATCAGATATATGAAAAAGAAGGCTAATCAAAATTTACATACAAGCCAGGTACCTCCATCAAATCCAGATAACTCGTTTAGACTTTTACAGTGTACTTTTAGGAAGAAAATCCTTAAAGTTAAATAGTCACAACAGTTACACTAAAATAGCAAGACATTAGAAAAAATAGTTGGACAGACAGAGCTAAAATGAGTTTATAATGTATATCCACATTAACATTGTCAGATGTGAATTATAATCCAAGTAAGGATTATTTTTGTAATTGGGTTTGGAAAACAACATTGTTTACTTTTTAAAACTGGGACTTTCCATGTTTTATTTTGTTTTGCTTTCTTGAGTTTCATGAATCGTTTTTAAATATGATATATATATATATATATATATATATATATATATATATAGAGAGAGAGAGAGAGAGAGAGAGAGAGAGAGAGAGAGAGAGAGAGAGAGAGAGAGAGAAACAAACACTCAACAAAGACTGAAATACAAAATTAAGACTTGAAGTGGGTATAGTAAATGTCAAAAATGTCCTTTTTGCCAATAAAGTAAAATTTAAAAAAATTACCAGAACAGCATCATCTTCATTCCACATGAATTCAAGTCCCAATTTAGCATTGACTCTAATATACATTCCTCTTCTGTCAATCTGGATTCCCGAATAAGCATATGGCATTTCCACTCTGTAAAAATATTTCTATATGTATAATCAAATTAAACAATTTTATGTCATCAATAAATCTTTCAAAAGGATAGGTAAAATATTTTACCCAAAGGAAAAACTGGAGGAATATCTGTATTTAAAGCGTAGCTGATTTTTTTTTTTTTTTAGTTAATTCTATTTAATGGTAAATTTAATTTGTGTACAGAAAATCAAGTGCATTTTTCCTCCAAAAGTTGTGTAGGAATTATTTGACAATGATAGTATTGTGGTTTCTTTAGAAACTCCCTCACCCAACACATAATTGTACATACCCTTAATTTCCAAACTAATAAAAGGATACTCAAGTGCCAGGAATACAAAGCTGTATTCATGGTACTATCGCTCCCATGCCTCCTCCCTCCCTCACACCCCACCCTTCCTGAGAAGTAAAGGGTTAAGAAACCTTTATATACTTACCTGATCCCAACGCCGAGGGACCTCGGCTCTAAGTTGACGCTATGCCCCCTCCAACGTCCCACAACAAGCGGGCGCTAATGTGCATGCGCAGCAAGCTCATTAGACGACCCCATATGAAAAATTTGTCACTGTATGTTCTCTGGTAGACAACCACTGAATGCAGACTTAGAGCTGCAATTTAAACATTGCACCCAGACCACTTCAATGAGCTGAAGTAGTCTGGTGCCTATAGTGTCCCTTTAATTAAGTTATTCATTATTATTGATAATTCTTAATAATACTATAATAGGTTGAATAAACTTACATATCACCATTGAATGTAATACTTCCACTTTTCAATTCAATAAATATACCATCTATCTTCATACTGATGTCAGTAATAGTGGGAAGGCCCTCCACAACAGAACGTCTGATTTGGATGTTAAATTCTTCAAAGTTACTATGGCAGTTGGAAGCATACAAGTAGTTGCAGGTTCCGGGATAGTAGAATATGTCTCCATCAAAGGTCTTAAAGTGGTAATTACCCCATGTACTGCAGACTCGGCTATTGTGAGCCGAAGAGAGACCTGTAAGTTATCAAACCATTATTACATTTGATTTTGAGTTAAATAGAAACTCATCTTTATGAAAACAATGAAATAATGTTTCTTTTTACTAAAGAAAATATTGCTTAAATTACACCTTTAAGGGACATTCTTGCTGAAGTGCTTTATGTTTAAACTGTATATATTCTTTTTATTTTACAAAAAGTGCAGATTTGAATAGAAATTAGCACTTTTATAAATTAACCTTGTTACACCCCTATCTGTCAGACAACTGGGCCTCTACTTCCTGGCTGTTTAATTCAGTGGTGCTAAACTAAAAAGGCAGAAAATTGTACAGAGTACTTGCCATGCAAAGACTACTCAATGAGTTAAATTCAGAAGTCTGATTGGAGAACCACAGAATGTCCAGGCTGGGTTAGAAGTAGAAGGATTGCAAGGACTTCAGACAAGAGATCTGCAGCTTTTGCAAGTTGTAATTAAATATACTCAAACAAAAAGCATAATTAAATGTATGCAAGTTTATCTACTAAACAGTCATTTTCATGTATTTATGTAATCAAATAGTGGAGTGCCACTTTGAAAATTTCAAGAAAAGCACTGAAAATATCTACTGATCTACAATGTTTGAAACTAGTGTAAAAAGTAGTATATCACAAAAGATAAAAACATATACTTCACTCCCTGAAAGTGGCTTAAATGTAGTGGCAGAAACGCCTTGATAGGTTGTTTATTCCTTAGGCTGCTAGGATAGGGCCTGCCAAAACCGGGGAACATTAACGTTGTGCAATGAGTGATCATATAATGTAGCTAAATCCTCATTATTTTTGCCCACGTTGGGTGTTTAAATAAATAAATTAATTAATTTTAAAAAAAAAAACTATTACCTATTTTGAGCTTTGAAGTTGGTGTTTAGTGAGTGAGTGTGTGCGCTGGTATGTTATTTAAGGATTGGTGTACTTTTGCACTTCTAACAACTGTAGTCCAATAGTTGGCAATTTACTGACTAGTTCCCTACGTTTATTGTTTTAATATTGCACGATTCAACAAATACTGCACTCGTCAAGAGTGTCCTACGTTCACTCACTTCTGAACACAGGAGGAGTCGTTGGTGAAATAAAGATCAGCTTGGATGATTTTGAATTCTGATCTGTAATAGGAGAGCAAATGTAGATCATTAAAAATTAATTAACACAAATTTAAAAATTAAAGATTAAATAATGTGATACATTGTAAAACATTTATTTTTTAGATACTATTATCTAGATACTATTTCCAGACTAAAGAATTTACTATTTGGTTTATAATTTACATTTTACATTTAGGTTTTTTTCCCCCATAGATCCATGCCTCCCATACAGGGTTATTCATTAAGGTGAAAATTTAAAGTGAATCTAAAATGTAAAGCCAAAGTAACCAAACTGGATGCTGTCTTAAAGAGTGTTTCCAAATTGGCAATTTTTTACCTTGAATTTAAACTTCACTTTGAATTCTACTTTAGTGAATAACTCTGTATGGGAAGCATGGATCAATGTGGAAAAAAAACCATTAAAACAATTTCACTACTTTTTAGCACTTGTAATTTATACATCAAATAGTAAATTCGTTAGCATTAAAGAATTAGGAAATAATACCAATTCATTATTGTCTAAGGCTAAAATGTTAAAATTACTTTTTTATTTTTATATATAGTACTAAAGGTACACCTAGCACATTTTTATTTACATTACAGCAGAGGTTAGGTACCAAACATGCAGAAGGTATACAGTGCATGTATGTATGTTCCACTGGCCATACATTTAGCATTTTTACCGTGCAGTAGTATACAGACACAGCTTGTAATAAAGTGTAAAATGCATTTGCTTACTATAAGCTAGCTATAAGTTAACGTTTATTAATGAGTTATGAGTACTGTACTTGAACTTTAGATAAAAATGAGTCAGTTGAATAAAATCCAGAATTAATCAACAATAACATTGAATTTTCTTCCAATGTAGTTAATTTGGCCTGAATTCAGCTGGTTGCAAACTGATGTACACGAAGCAACAACTAATGTAAACTATTTATATTTACATATCCTATTAGTCTCATAAATACATGAAATATATTTAGATTTTATACAATAAAAAAATATTTTTTGTAGAATGAAATTTTGAGATCTGTATGATATTGATTTCATATCATGCGCAGCATTATTTTAAATCACAAAATTAGAGTGTTAGTGAATAAACGTATAATCTGTCAAGTGAGTGTTGCTGTAAAATTGAGTTTTTTTAACTGATATTTTTAAAGACTGGCCTCTAGGTTTTATGTACTCCACTCCATGGTCTGAAATGGTCAAAAAATATTTTTAGTTTTTTGCATAACTCATGCAACGTTATTTGAGTACATTCAGCTTCTCACTGTGAATAACTTGGTTTTTCTGAATTTCATTACTTCATTCTTTTTAAAATAAATCAACTTTAAACTTTGCAGCTGCAAACATACAAAATAGAGATAACACATATTTTTAAAACTACAGAATGCAAATCAAACACAACTCTCTAAATAGTAATAGTAGCTACGAAGCATGGAGGCATGTATTTATTAAACAACAAACTAAGGTGAATCACAAAAAAAGGGATTGGAAATATTAGGACAAAATTGTGGAAAAAATATACAATTCACCAGTTTTTTCAGCTTGACTATTCTAATCTAAGGTACTTTTAAAAGAGTAACGTTACTTTAAGTTTGACATACATTTTCAGTTCAGTGCTATTCATTCATCACTAAATTAACAGATGCCATCTCTTTCAACACCAAAACTGGTTTCTGCTCTTCTATTACGTTTTTCTATATCCACACCCTTTTTTCCTTTTTTCAGTCTGTCACATTTATAAATATGTGGTTAAAATGTTGACTTTACTTACATTGTGCCCCATCAATTACATAAATCATGCGATATTAGAGTATCTAGTTATATATATATATATATATATATATATATTTATTTATTTTTTACTCTTGGAGGGGATGTGATTGCATTGAAGCAATATATACAAGGCTAGTGCAGTCAGCTCCATGGCAGCCTGTTCATCAACCCCTTCATCTCAACAATTATGTATTCATGATTTGCATAATTCCAAATTACATTTGTTTATTGCAAAGAGAGAGAGCTGCCTGTTGTCTTTTTTTTTTTTTTTTTAGTAATACTGATAATGCCGCTCTAGAAGTGAGGGGCTACAGCCTCTCCGTTTCTTTTTACTGATTAGGCTGCAGTCCAGTAGAGAGGAAATCCTCAGAGCCCGCTCATAAAGCCATAAAGCTGGGAATGGTAGGCAGCTCATTTTGTCCTATTCCTGTTTTCACAGGGAGCAGGGTAGCTGCTGTACACATGAAAGGACAGCCACTCAAGAGGAGAAGCAGGTAATTGGAGGGTTGCTGAGAATATTGGGGGGCATCACAGATTTATATAGATTCTGTCAGCAGCCATTAGCCAGCACACTCTTCCCTGCTCCATCACACTTCAAATCACATCATAAAGCAGCAGTGAAGCAGCATGTACTGCCTATCTGATGGCTGCTGTCACTTTTACCACTACACCAGCAAGGCAAATGTGTGTGTGTTGCTAACAGTGTATGTGGAGTGTCTGTCAGCATGTATATGTGTGTGTTTGTTTGTGTGTGTCTGCCAGTATGTATACGTGTGACTGTGTCTAGCTGTGTGTGTCTGATGCATATATTATAATCATATAATGTGTATATATTTATTTACAACACTGTTTCCTTGCCTGTAACTTGATTATATGATAAAAGATTAAATGCTTAAATGCACATTAAAAATACAAAATACATTTAAACATTACTTCACAGGACACCATATTACTCGGATTCTAGAGCTGTTTTTTTTTCCAAACTGCTTGGTCACGAAAGGGTTTACAGGACAGTACAAATGACTAAAGGGCACAAACTTCAATTATAAGAAAAAAATTATATTTCACCTATAAAAGCAGATGGGTTGTTTAGACAATAATATGTAAAGATTTGGAATTATGTGCATAAAGTGATGGTTTTATCAGGTTAAAGACCACTATAGGCACCCAGACCACTTCAGCTTAATGAAGTGGTCTGGGTGCCAGGTCCAGCCAGGATTAACCTTTTTTTCTATAAACATAGCAGTTTCAGAGAAACTGCTATGTTTATATTAGGGTTAATCCAGCCTCTAGTGGCTGTCTCATTGACAGCCGCTAGAGGCGCTTGCGTGCTTCTCACTGTGAAAATCACAGTGAGAAGACGCCAGCGTCCATAAGAAAGCATTATGAATGCTTTCCTATGAGACTGGCTGAATGCGCGCGCGGCTCTTGCTGCGCATGTGCATTCAGCCGAGTAGGAGGAGGTGGAGAGGAGGAGGAGAGCTTCCCGCCCGGCGCTGGAGAAAGAGGTAAGTTTAACCCCTTCCACTCCCTAGAGCCTGGCGAGTATGTTTTCCTGGCACTATAGTGGTTCTTTAACTACAAATTTTAAGGTTTGAAAATTCAAGAATAATATGGTTAATGTTTATGGTAACAATTTGTTGATATAAGGACAAATCTGAATCAAGAAGTTTTGGGGGGTTTTTTTGCCTTTTTTTGCAGGTAAGGGGCAAAATGCATCTACGCTTATGTACCCAAGAGTCCTTGCCCTGGCCTTGCCCCATATAATGTTACATTTCCTCACCTGATGTATCTTGCCCATTTGAGTTTTTAGATGACTTTAAGTAATTCTTTGCACCTGTGTAAAAAATAAATAAATAAATAAGTAAAACACGAAATAACCACAGCTGTTTCAGAATGCTAATTAAAAAGGAGAAACACTAAGGATTTGTATTGTTTTCATATAAGCATTGGATTTCACCTAGCAAATATATTTGTATCTTTTGCTAACATGTGCATATGATTCAGACTGTTTTTGCAGCCATTGTCATGTATCAGCTTTGTGGCAAGCTTGGATACATATAATTTAGTGCTAGCAGTTCACTTATATTGCATGTTGTATCATCTCAGTGCAAATTTTAGTCCTATCTGGAATGGTAATTAACACTGGATTACATACTGTTTTAGAGTTAATTGCATGCTTGCCCCTAAAAATAGATGGCACTATTCCTTTTATCTGGCTTTGCTAGGTATTTATTATCATTTGCCCTTTTCCACATTTTTTTCAGAACTTTTCATTTGACATACGTAACTGAAATGGATAATTTCTTATAGAATGGTTCTTTATGATGTCCTTAGCTCGAATGCACAAAGAAGTGTGATTAGTTAGGTTCATATCCTAACACGTAATTTTGGCTTTTTAAATGTGGATGGACACGTTGCTTTTACTGTGTGCTAGCTTCAACCAAGCATGTAGTTTGCTTCAAGAGTAGTGAACTACAATTACAACTATAAGTGCGGTGGGCAATAAGGTTATATAGAAGGAGGGGAGTATATATACTTCCTTTAGTTCACCTCCTCTTCCTAATACTTTTTAAAGCACAGTGTTTTTTTTTTTCTTTTTCCTTCTGAAGAAGCGTTGTTTATTAGATGTGAAACATGTCCAGTTTTTTTCTTAGTTTTTTTTTTTTGGTGCCTACATTTTTTCTTTACCTGCGTTGTGTATCTGTTTTTGCTGAATAAATGAACATATACAATATATAGTGCCTGATAATTTTCCTGGGAGTATCATCAAGTGTGGTATTATCTCTATTTGGAATAGGTTTGTTGGAACGCAATTGCCAGAAGCGATTTTACCCAGAGAAAAAAAAAAAAATGTCACCTTCTTTTCTTACTCCATTTGTGTATTTGAACGTTCCTTACATGTTACATTTTTGAGCATGAAAGCAATTTCTAATAATAAATTGTAAGCTTGATAGAAAGGAATGGTAGAAGTTGCCGAAACAGTGGAGGGTATCCCCTGTAATGATTTATTACATTTCCTCACCTGATGTATCTTGTCCACCTGAGTTTTTAGATGACTTTAAGTTATTCTTTGCACCTGTGTAAAAATGTTAAATTAAAACATGATGTAACTACTGTAGTTTCAGACCACTATTGTCCAATAAATTTTTCAGCATTATTCCAAAGGTCTGATTAACAGTCTGAATTGAATGTATAATGTATATCTATGTGTTGAGTGCTGGAAGACCAATTTTGGAATTACACTGTAATTAAATAAAATGGTTTAAACCCTGAATATATGATGATGCTCAGACATCTCTGTCCAAATAACAACTTCAGTGAGCTGAATTTGAAATGCAAACAGGAGTGCTCCTTTAATATGCATCGTGAAAGATTTGTAGATGTCATGCCTAGTCATATTTAATAGAAGCTAATTCTGTGTTTATTCTTTATGCTATTTACTAGGGGATTATTTGTACCCCTACAAAACTCATTTAAAGAGGAGACCACGTGTAGGTCATCATGAAGGTTCTGGGTGTCCCAATAGCTGTTTAGGTAAGTTGGATTTTGTTTAAGAAGAAACTTTCAGCTACTGATAGCTCATTCCATTTCAGAGCTGCTTTTTCTTGGCCATTGGGAAAACAAAATATTAATATGCGCACAATAAGCTCACAATTTAAGATTTCTGAGAGCGTTTTTTAATTACCTGCTTTAGATTGCCCACTTGCATCTTTGATGTCACTTTTAGATGATTTCGAAATGTTATCTGCAAATGCATTGACATTAAAAAGCAGAGATAAATAATTGTGAAAAACTATAAATTTAAGTTTTAAAGTATAAAGTTGAAGAGATAAAAGGTGTTTCTGTGTCAAAGTAAAAGGATACCTTCAGAAGACTGATCTCTTGAATCTTCTTGAATGGAATTTTGAAATGATTTCAAGAGGTTATTTGCAGCTGCAGGGGCAGAAAAAGAGACACATTGCATTTATAGAACTTCAAATAAATCGTAAAAGCACATATGTGAACTGCCAGAATTTCAAAGTCAAATGCAAACATTAAGTTAAATTAGCCAAACTCAAAACATAACTGACGGATAACTTTTCCAATATTTTTGATCAAAATAAAATAATAAAATTTACTTTAAATTCACTTTGACTTTCTTTTAATATTATTAGAAACTTCAAAAAATGCTAACACACATTCACAGGCTTATTCATTACAGTTGGAATTGCCAGGATTTAAGACACATGACATGTGTGACATGTCATGATTCCCTTTTATTCCAGAAGTTTGGTCCTTAAGGGGTTACAAATAAAGTTATGGTAAAATTATAATTTTAGACCAAAAAAGCCAAACTGAAAACATAGCAGACTTGAAGAATCTTTCCAGTTTGGCAATTTTTTCCTTGCAATTCAAATTTTCTACAAATTTCAATTAAATTATTGAATATAGTAAAAAGATGCAAGTTCCAACAGAATGGAACTACACTCCCTCTCAATTTAAGATTTATAAGAGCATTTTAAGATTTATAAGAGCATTTTTATAATTACCTGCTTTAAATTGCCCACTTGCATCTTTGATGGAATTTTTAGATGATTGCAAAATGTTATCATCAACTGCATGGACAGAAAAAGTAGAGATGATAAATGTAAAAAAAAAAACAACTATAAAATAAAGTATAAAGTTTAAAGGATAAAAGGTATTTCTTTGTCAAAGTAAAACGATACCTGCAGAAGACTGATCTCTTGAATCTTCTTGAATGGAATTTTGAAATGACTTTAAGAGGTTATTTGCAGCTGCATGGACAGAAACAAAGAGACATATTTCATTTTTTTAGCACTTTAAATTAATCCTAACAAACATTTATTGGGTTAGTTACTCATATGTGAACTGTCAAAATTTCAAAGTCAAATTCAAACATTAGGCTAAAGTAGCCAAACTCAAAACGGAGAATTTTTCCAATCTTTTTGGTAAAAAAAAAGAAAGTCACTTTAAATTCCACGTAATACTTGTAAAAAAAACTTGAAAAAAATTCTAACACACATTCACAGGGTTATTCATTACAGTGGGAATTGTCAGTATTTAAAAAACTTAATTTTAAACCAAAGAGCCAAACTTAAAACATAGCAGACTTGGATAATCTTTCCAGTTTAGCAGTTTTTGCCCCCAAATTTAAATTTTCTATGAATTTAATTAACATTTTTGAATATGATGCAAATTCCACCAGAATGGAGCAATTACACTCCCAAAGACAATCAGAACCAGGTACAGCAATTGCCTTTGTAACACAAGCCACATTTTGGCTCACACATGAGTCTTTGTCAAGCATAAGCATCCTTGAAAGCAAATTAGTGTGTATTGTCCTGTTTATGCTTGTAAATGGTATTTCACTTGCACACTCAATGTTTCTGAGAGTAAAATTGTACCTGGAGCAGAATGGTCACCTAAATCTTCAATGGAATTCTTGAATGACTTCAAGATGTTATTTGCAATTGCAGAATCAGAAAAAAATAGAAGCTAAATACACCTACAAAACCTCACATAAATGTAAACAAGTACTGTCAGATTAATAAATAACATTCAGTGGGTTATGCACTCGATTTTTTTTATTTTCAGGACCTTTTCTTTTGTAAACCTTTAAATAAATGCTAACAAACATTCACAGGGTTATGTATTAAAGTATCAATTTCCAAAATTTCTAAATTAATTCAAAGCCAAATTTGTATTTTAGGTAAAAGAAGCCAACCCAAAAACATAGCTGATTTTTGAAGAATTTGAGAATTTGTTTTTATCAGTATCACACTCACATAATTATTTACTAACGTGTACATTATTGGGAATTCAAAATGAATTAAAAATGAATTACATATTTCAAACCAAAATAGCTAAAACTGAAAACATTGCTGATTGAGAACATTTTCCAATGTGGCTATTCTGGCCTTATATTTGTAATGTAAATACGTGTATTCCTGTATATTCACTCTTTACTGAATAACCCTGTCAATATTGCTGAGAAAATCATACCTGCCACAGACTTGCCACTTGAATCCTCAACAGAATTTTTGAGTGACTTCAATAATTTATTTGCACCTGCAAGAACAGAAAAATTGGATACTAAATACCCATCACATGGAGTTTACATATTGTTTTTTCATATTTACTTGATACATGTAACCCTTTTTTTAATTCAGAACCGGCATGAACAACAACAAAAAAATCTGATTATGTTGTCCTAGAAAAGAACAAAAGATTGAAGAAGCAGAAAAAGAGGAGGTTTCTTGGCAAGACAAACCTCTCCATGGGGTTTACCACCGGCAGATAGTGGATGTGGCTCACATGACAAAATCCTACCAGTGGTTGGAAAAGGCAGGACTGAAGTACAGCACTAAGGCACTAATCCTAGCAGCACAGGAGCAGGCACTCAGCACCAGATCAATAGAATCTGGAGTCTACCACACCAGGCAAGACCCAAGCTGCAGACTGTGCAAAGAGGCCTCTGAGACAGTCCAGCATCTAGTAACCGGATGCAAAATGTTAGCAGGAACAGCAACAGTTCTCGTGGATCAACAGCAAAAACAAATGTGAGGAAGGCTGAACTTAGTGGACGCAAGTCACTTTTCAGCTATGTAACTATATAACTATGAGTATAATCATCCATTAATTATTTTAAAGTTCATCATTTTTAATACATGAATAAAAGAATGTAAAGACAGAAGTATGAAAGTGCTAAGAAAAAGTTAGATTTTGTTTAGGAAGGAGGGTTTAGCTGCTAATAGTTTTTAAGTAACAATACCCATATTTATGACAAAAAGACACTAAAAACCTTACAATTCTTTATTAGTCTTGATAAAGTCCTTCATGTAAGCGACATGCATAGACGTATAAGGCAGTTTGATGTCACGCACTCAAATTCTTATAGACTGGAGTTTTTGAACACCAGTGCTTCATAGATCAAACTGGTCTAGGGTCTCATACATGGGATTGGCGAACTAGTGACTATGTACTCATATATACATATACAATGTTTTTTAAAAGAAATAATATATGCTTGAATCAGTGGTACCTCAAGGGTTTAGCATTTCTACTATGAAAAACCAATAGTTGTCATTTATATGTATCTTTTAGTCCTTTATTTCTTAAGATGGTGTGGCTATATCGGTCAGCTTTTTACTAGCAGCTTATGACTCTAAGTATGAGTGTTCTATTTTAAGTATTGTCTATTACTGTTTCTGACATGTACATTCAGAGTAAGTGTATAGGGAAAGACACTCCCCTGGCTACTAAGTAGTTTTGTGTAGAACTACACACTTTTCTTCTAGTGAAGTAGGGCTTTTTTTTTTTAAATCGGAGGTAGGGGGGAAGGAGTCACCCTTTGTAATATATAGACTTAGCATATCACTGTGAAAGGTTAGCATCTTTTAAGATACATTTAGGATCTTTGCATTATTGACAAAGACCACACATGGTGGCATGCCAATTAGTGTGGATGTGGCTGAGAGCAGAGTAGATATACTTAAATGAAGCCAACATTTCCTTGCCTCCATTCTTCTTTGGCTCCTGGAGACATACTCACTATTATACTATTATGCATGTTATCTCACATGAAAGGACAAAATTAAGTCCTGTGAGACCGTAGGATCTTCCATGGATGAGCTTGCACATGTGCAAAACGGTGCTAGATAGTTGTGCATAGTGCTTGCTAATGCCTGTTCCCATGAGCTGTCACGCCGGTCTCCATCATCTTTTGTGACTGTTCCCATCATTCGTTCCTATTAGCCGTAATGAAAACTTCAGATTGGCAAGTACATGAGGCAAAATAATCCCAACTGCATCACAGTTTAGATAGGCATATTGCTCAGAACACAATGTGTAAAACAATAAATAAACTGATTCGCATGTATTTGACATAGGTAATTTTAATAACTGAGCAATATGTATGATTCTGCTGCGTGGAACTTAAACGTGAAAATCAGCTCAAATTTTAGCTATTTCTGCTTTCCATTTGTGGACAAAGAACTTGCTAATGTATATACATGCAGGTTTTTTAAACTAAGCAAAAAATAAATAAATAAGATCTTATTTGTAATTGTGTTTTTAGTGGCACACAATAAACTCACAGTTCACTGTTTCTGAGTAAACTTATTTTTTACCTGATGCCGAATTCACATTTGAACCTGATGCAGAATTCTCATTTGAAACGTCGTTGGTATTTTTCAGTGGCTTCAAAATTTTATTTGCAGCTGCATGACAATAAAAAAAATAAAATGTGTAAATGCATTTACAAACAGTATAAATTAAACATTTCACTCTCAATGTCATTGTAGACATAGCCTAAAAGTCCACCTCCCCTATCCTTTATTCACTGTCCTAGGAAATACAATGTTCAAAAATACAGTGACACAGAAAAGCAGCCAGGAACATAGGAATGAGTGCTCTGTGAACAATGCACATATGTGCAGTCAGCCACAGTAGTTTACTCTACTCTTTATCTTACAGATGTACATGGTTTAAGCAATAAATTAAGACCACGGTAAAGTCTACAGTGATCTACTGTTGACCAACCATAATGATTACACGCATTTACTGATTTATCTGTGCAAATGTGCAAATGCTATAAATATACAGATATAGATATATTAATTAAAAAAACACAATCCATATAGCTATCCGAAATATTAAATATTAGTATATGAAATATCATATATATTATTTTGATTAATGAGACAAGCATATGTCGTCTTTATGTTAAGAGGAAGCATTAATAATATTAATATCAATGAATTCATTATTGATATTATATTACTGATAGTTTGAATTGGTCATACATTACGGGTAAGATTTTGCTGGGAGACAATGCAATAATTCTACATGGTTACTTGTGACAAATGGCATAATGACTATTTATAAATCTGAATAAGAGAATGTCCCCAGGGACTTACCTTGCACTTGTAGACATGTCAGAACTATTACCAAGCATGTTGTAGGTATCCACATTCCCCTACAGAGCCCCATGTTTCCTACAGTTCAGGTCCTGAACCGAGGAAAGATGCTGAGCAGGTGCTGATGCAGTGTTCTAGCTCAACCTTTTTATAGGAAAACCCTGCCTTGAGTCAATACTGAGTGGCAGTGAGGCTTTGGTGGGATTTTATTGACGTCACTTTGAAATGCCAAGCCTATTCTGCTATGGAACCAGGATGTTTGTGTTCTGGTAGATGAAGGGGATTTACTGTGTGCTAGATTTTTCATGAAGGTGATGAGGAGCTAATGACAGAACAATCTTACCTCAATGAGTGACAAGAGTATGTTATTCTGAACAGTTCCCCCCCACCCCCGAAATGTGTTTACTGCAAACCTGAATCTTTGTGTAATGATGAGAATCAAAATATTTTATTTTGTAAATATTGTTAGTCCAAGTGTTGGCAGTTATAATATTTATGAATACATTTATTTTACCGAATAGCCAAATATAAAATATAACTATTGTTAAACAAATGTTATAATTTTGAATCAATGTAAACAATGATTTGGTATAGATATATATTTTTTAATCTTCTTTTGCTTTTACTAAGGTTGCATGTTTATATTGAATGCCAATTTAGACATTCATATTTTCTACATGGTCTCTGCTATCTATCATAGTTTTATTCACATTCTGCACACTTTATAATAAAATGTGTATAAAACAAGTAATCAATGGGATATTGTCATAATATCTGTTCGGACATGTTATTGTACCCCAGAGATTGCAAGCTAGCAACCCCCTGGTATTCAAATATAGTAAATATCCTGGAGAACTATAGTGCCAGATAGAATTGATGGCCATGACAAACAAACTGATAAAAGAAACAAGTCTTCATGACTGATATTAACATGTCTATACTAATACAAGACAAACTCCTGTAAACAATGAGACACCTGTCTTTCATCTGTCTTGCTATGGAAAGTAATAAATAGATTAGAGAAGAACCTCCTTAAAAAGGCATAGTTTGTAAACATATTTTGGCTAAGACAGAAGTTAATGTCCTTATCTAATATAGAAGAAATACCCAGTGGATTGTCAAAGGCAAGTTTGAGACACCAGGCAAGAGCAAGCCCTGGATTTTCAGATACTGCTGAATAAAAACATACCCTACTATCAAACAGGGAGAAGAAATTAAACAGAAAATCTGGAAATATGTGTTTGCTAATCCAATGACCTAATTATAACCCCTTCATCTTGCCACAAAACAAGATCTGCCTGTATGAAAAGGCTGAATCTAGTAGAGAAATATGAGATTTTGTTATTAAAACACTGCAACAATTAATACATACTGCAAATATCATATACTCAACTACACCTCTCTGCCATGTAGTCTAACCCCAACATGCAGAGTGTCAGTAGCAGTAATAAGCAACAGAAACCATGATAGGGCATAGCAAATAGTGCCAGAAAAGTTTAAGTACTATATGGTGTTTTGTGACTGGTTTATGTCATGTCTGTAACCCCAAAATGTACATGACTGGGGGTGCTGGACTTTAGTGTACCAATTAGAACCGCAAGTGACAAACCCATTTCCCTTTGGGCCGTGAGTAGCATTCTTAACTTTATAGTTCAGACCACATGATTGATTGAAACATTCGACATGAGTGGCCTAGTTAGATGTTCCTTCACTGCTCAGAATGCATAAAAGTTCTGACATCTGGTGTGTGTGGCCCAAACAGAACACCATTGGGTTACAAGCAAGTAACGCAACACTCACTTTAAATGGATTGTTTATTGTAGTAATGCTTAATTACAGTGTAAATTACTAGGCAAAGGCAAGAAGGAGCTCATTATTCAGATAATACCGCTGCAAGCACTTCACACTAGAGCTGGTTTTACGCTCTATCCCATGTGAGTAGGCCAATTTGGATTTCCTTTTACCTTAGTTTTTAATATATTTTAAACATATTGCACTATTGGAATTCTTTTCTTCTCTTTTATGTCCCTGAATCTCAACTATCTGGAAGACATACCCATCTGGAGATAAAGGCAAACTCTTATAGACCTAAACCTTTATACTTCTTTTTGGACTCCTTTGGCTTGTTCGCTTTTATGCATATATGATATTATATCATTTTATTGAGCATGTATAATCTGATTTACTTCATTTGTGCTGAATACACACACACATACTGCTAAATATACACACGGAGACTACTGAATACATACAGTCAGACTGCTGAATACATACACGCAGACTGCTAAATAAACACACACACAGACTGCTGAATACACACATACTGCTGAAAACATACAAACTGCTGAATACACAGACAGACCACTGAATAAACACAGACTGCTGAATACACACACAGACTGCTAAAGAAACTCACAGACTGTTGTGCACACATACTGACTGCTAAATACACACACAGAGACACACAGACTGCTGAATACGTACACACACAAACTGCTTAACACACACATACTTCTGAACACACACAGACTCCTGAATATATAACCCCAGATGGCTGAATACACACAGACTACTGAATACATACACAGACTACTGAATACACACAGACTGCTGAACACGCACACACACAAAGACTGCTGAATACATATACACAGACTGCTGAATACACACAGACTGCTGAATGCACACATACAAATGGTGCACACAAAATGCACACACAGACTGCTGAATACACACACACACACACACACACAGATTGCTGAACACACATACTGCTGTTAATCTGTCTGAGGGTTGCAGTGTGTTTGTGAGCTATGCAGTGTGTGTAAGGGATGCAGTGTGTGTGAGGGGTGCAGTGTGTGTGAGAGAGCGTGATAAGGGAAACATTTATATTTTTATTTAAATAAATTATAAAAGCCTTATGTCTCCACCACCCCATAGCGCTGTGTCGGGGTGTTGCCATAGTAACGCAGGGCAATGCTACAAACAGCCTGCTCATGGGAGGAACATCCAGCTTTGATCTCTCTGATCTTCCCAACTGGCCAGAGGCAGATAGCAAGGCTGGCTCTTCATGGGCTGTAGGAGAGTTGATAGGTCAACTATGCTCACGGGACTCTCGGGTAACTTCCCACTATGCCCATACTGAAAGACAGCTCTGTGCACAATATTAGTGCTGTTTGAGAAAAGTAATTTAAAATATTTTTTTGTTTTTATAATTCTTTATTTTTGCAGTGCAGACTTACTTGACATTCAATAGTTATGCAAGAGGATGCCTAGTAATATTGCAGAGAAAGCACAGGTTTTTATATATATATATCTATATAATACAAGACATCTTCAAACTGGGTATACCTGAGAGGGAGGTAATGTTTTAAAGACTCAGTAAAAATTATTACATTCTCAGGTGTCTCCAGGAGTGAAATATTAAATATGCTTGTGGAACTACGTTTAAGAAGCAGAGGAGGCACAGCATATATATGATTTAGGTTTTGAGAAAAGAGCAGTGTTAAAACATTTGAAAAAAAGATGAAACATTAGTGATTAAACCAGTAGCAAGATTGAAGTTCTTGAACCATTCTTTGTGTGTTATTAATTTAAGCAGACTGTGATCGTCTATTGTTGTGACTTAGATGGTGATCAGATCACATTTTATGACCAATTTGTGCAGAAATCCATATCATTCCAAAAGGGTTCACATAATTTCTTTTTTGCAACTGTATGTCTTCTGAGTACAACAGTACCCACAATTTATGTCTTTGCCACTATCATGTAAAGAAGTTGCAGTGCCATATTAGAGACCTCATCGTTTCAATATTTACAGTAAGAATTCATATAGTATTTGATTGGCTTATATCTTAAACACATTGTAGCAGTTTAACTGTTCAATTTACCAAGCAAAGGCTTGCCATTTGTGAAATGGCCTACCATTTGTGATGCTTCCGGGTATCTCACATGGTGTATATTGTGCCGTAATGTGTCATATTTTCCACCAGTTTATGTCAACGTTTGTGGTTTTTCTTTTGCATTTTGAATTTCAAGTTGTTAGTGTTATGTCTCCAGAACTCCATGACTGCGTTTCTTTCCTGGCCTATTGCCCACTGTAAAGCTAAAATACTTTTATTCTACTTCCATTAGTGCATCATTGACTTTTGTAATTTTGACTTACTTTTCACTAGGGCCAACACTTTTTTTGCAAATGTCTTCATATATGAAAATATATTGCATATATAAAAATTGCATATATAGCTATCCAAAAAGACAATTGTTCATGTTAAATTACTCGATAGTACTTTCTGACCATATAACATTAATTTAAAAAAGAACTTCAAGTCCTGTGTGCTGCAGGTCCTAATCTTTAATCTATTTTCAATGATTCAATGTGTCACAGCGCCCACTGGGTACTCTCTGGTGCAGTATGTTCCAGCACAACTTATATGCACATTGTGTTGTTGCACTCAGATCCATGCCCTCTGGCAGTGAGGTGTTCCGGTGTTCAAAGTGGGCACTCTAAACAGCATAACCACTACAGCATGTTAAACTACACCCAATACAGTTCCAAGGTGTTATCCCACAGTATGGAGTCAAACTGTATGCTCCCACTCTGTTTTTGCATTATCAGTCTTGTCCAAACAATGAGAAGTTTATTGGCTCCCTGTGTTCAATCCAAAAATTGTGTTAAAATTAAGTCAAGTCCTACTTGTACATGGTCTTTAATTAATTCAGATGCCTGGTCTCTTAAATAAATAATGAAACTATTTAATAAAAAAAAAGGAGAAACTGAAACCGTGAAGGGTATATATGGGAAATCCACTGTGAAATGGCCAATATGATAGAAACAATGCTCTGACTCCAAGCCACACAGCAGACTATGACACTTCAAATGGCCACACAGGAAGACAGGTACCGCCACAACCACCTTAAAATCTGCAGTGTACTCCCTCTCCACCCGCAATCACTATGGAGGAATTACTAACTACATACAGAGACTTACTTCTCTTTTACCACCAGCTCTGGGCAAAAAAATTTACCCATGCTTGACTGTATTGCCTCCCTACAATAACCACATCTCCTGACCCAATTACTGGAGATTTGAGGGGTAAGACCCCATTGTTATTTGAATAATCACAATTGTCTTTC